GAGGATGGAAATAAGGGCGGGCACTTGCAGCCTCTTGCTTATGAACTGGATGAAGTTTGCAGGAGTGAAATGTGCTGACTGCTTTGGTACTGGTTAATGCATCTGTCATGCAATGAGGGGAAAGCTAAAGCTTTGCCAAAGTCCTTCCTTGGCTGCAGCTCCAGGAGCAGAGCTAACCAGTGCCCATCTGCTCTTTGATGCTTTTCTCTGTCCACAAAGCTGCTCTGTGCAGTACTTCTCGCTAACTTGCATTGGTTTTGCTTCCTTTTTCAGCACGGTGGAAGAGCTCTGGAGTCTTCATCATGAAATTGAGGTAAAGCATAAGTATCCCAACCTTTCAGCTTGCCTGGGCCACATTGAGTGAAAAGGATTTGTCTTGAGCCACATACAAAGTATATAATAGAGTTAAGCTATAGAACTAACAAACTTTAAAAATATTATTTTCAATTAAAATATAAAAAAGAGCAGCGAAAATGTAAAACTAGTGGGATATTTGACTTAATTTTTGTGAAGTTAGTGCATCAGGCTGGTTCAGTGGAAGTGGCTGCAGTTCTTAGTGAGCTGTCAAGGTTTTCGTCAGAGATTTTTGATGAACTACAAGAAATTCAAATATTCAGTCAAATATGATGATTTTTTTGGAAGTCTTGAAACCTCAAATAGAAAAATATTCTCATATTTTTTGCTGTTCACAGGGTTGGGTTTAGCCACTGTAACAAAATGCATGCGATTATTTGCGGTAACTTGAGCTGGCCCTAATTTAAGTTTCATATTGAACACTGTTATGGTTTGAAACGTAGCACAGATAAGTTGATTTTCACCAGGAAGACAGATGTGTAACTCATTTAAATGAGCAGTGACATCCCCCAAAAATGCTAAATCTGTGAGCCATTTTGATCTTCATATTCTGGCACAGATTTTTCTTTTGACTCCATGAAGGATTTGATTTCATTTCACAAATCATAAAATCTGTTTAGCACTTTACCCCAGCTTAGCCACCTTCCTTCAGAAAAGCGAATGATGTCTGCATAAAAAGCATCCATACCTCTAAGGAACAACTGGAGTAGCAATGAGCCAGTCCCTTGGACTTGATGAAGTTACAGCTTTGATGACATTATCCATCTTCAAAGCTTTTGCACATAGATTTTGTTGATGTGTGATGCAATGACATTTCATCACATGTGAGTTGCTGGCAGCAATTGCATGATCTCTTATTAATTTTAGAAGTCTCTTTTTTACCAACCATTGCTTATGAGTAGCTATGCCAGATCTGTTGACAAAGGTTAAAGAAAATCGCTTTAATGTATTTTTTTCTGCCTCATCCAAATCAAGAGATCTATTGTGTCTTCTACAGGCACCAAAGAAGCCATTTTCTCAGTGACATTATTCATTACCAGCAACTCCTATGAAAATGGCACATCAAGCCATACCTGTAGCATCAGTACTTTCATCTGTCACCAAAGCTTACAATTTGACATAAGCAGCTTTACTTCCCAAATTTCTTTCAACAGACTTTCCTATTTTTTTCCGGTTCTTTCATCCATAGTTTTTCTTTTTTTGGGTTCTGTTTTCTTTTGAGATGCCATGAGATAGGTTGAAATATTATTATTGGTAATCACTGTTACACTCTCCAAGTGGTACAAGGGCACATAACATGTAACACACACAGGTTTCAATGTGACTGAGTGTGTGTGATGGTGAGGTTAGCACTGCACTACACCCTTCCCTCGTCCTGGTTTCAGCTGAGGCAGCACGTTGCTGTTCGGTTGTTGCTGTGTGATGGGTATACTGGGCTTGGCTTCTCAGTAGAGAAGAGCTGCCATGGCTCCCAAAGAGCCACTTGATTTTAATATTGGGCCTGATGTAGTTCACCCCACAGTTGATGGAGCCCAACAGGGAGCCCAGCAGAGCCTCAACCATGGGACAGTGCATCCACCCCACTGACCACCAATGTGTTTGCCCCTCAGGAGTCTTGCCACCAGTTCATTGCCCAGTGGAAAAAGCTGAATCTGGATGTGATGCTTTGTCCCATGCTGGGCCCAGCTCTGCTTATCGGCTACCCAGCAAAGCTCTCAGGTAGGACTGCCTGGTTGACCTCAAGGCATAGCCTCCCTGCTGGTGTAAATGGGAAGCATTCTTCCTCCTCCCCACGCTTTCCGTGGCACTGGGCAACAGTGGGAAGAGCTCAGCACTTGGGTAGCTGGGCTTCTGGACAACCACCCTGGTGTGTGCAGGAACCAAGGGGCAGGCTTCTGTCCTGCAGCCACTGAGTTCCCAGCACAGATGCCTGTTAGTTGGAAGTGTTGTTGGGCATTCACATGTGCTGTAGTCACACAGAGAGGGTGAAGGTTTTTCCTATTGCTGTGAGCTCCCTTTTTCCCACAGTGGCAGTCAGCTACACCATGCTCTTCAACTCCTTGGACTTCCCTGTTGGTGTCGTCCCCGTCACGCTGGTGACGGATGAGGATGAGAAGGAGCTAAAGAATTACCAAGGCTATTTCCAAGACTGGTGGGACCGGACCCTGGCAACGGTGAGTTGTGCCAAGTCTCCTGGGAGGTACAGTGTCCCCATCTCATCTCTGCCATATCCCCTACCTTCTCCCTTTTCTTTTTGCCATAGGCTTTTAGCAGTGCCGAGGGGATGCCGGTGTCTGTGCAGTGCGTAGCCTTGCCGTGGCAGGAGGAGCTGTGCCTCCGGTTCATGAAGGAAGTGGAGACGCTTGTCATGAAGAAAAACATGATTGTCTGAGTCCTCACCCAAAGCAGGATTTGAGCTAAGAGTGGCGCAAGCTGCCCTCACATCCCACCTGCCTGCAGGACTGGCATTCCCATCCGTGATTGGGTGGATTGTGGAAAAGTGAGATGAGGTCAAATGTTTACACCAATTGTCCCAATACAGTGATTTTTGTTAGTGGAAAGTCTGTTTCAGGTGTGTTTTTGTGGGGAGGCTTGGTGGGGTTTGGTTTGGTTTGGTTTTTCTGGACGTGTTATCTAAGACACTCAGATTCCTGCTTTCAGTGCCATAGGAAGAGTTTGTGCCTTCAGTTCTCGGCTCCACAGAAGTTGCATTATGAGGGAGAAAGAATATTTTCCATGTCACGCACCAGCAGTCAAAGGTCAAAACTGAACCTCTGATAAGCAGGGAGAGAGCTGGACCACTTCCCATATGGTAGAGCTGCTCACACCCCTCTGACACGGGTGAGCATAAAGGGGAAAAACTTTAGCAACCCCCCCATCCCTTAGGTCCGCCTGCTTTCCCCAGAGCAGAGGTATAAACAGCAACAGTTCACTGTCTTGCATAAACTCAGCAGCATGCCAGAGTCAGAGCACAGCTCTGCTGTACGTTCGTGCCTTCCATTTGCAGAGGGAGCCAGGCCAGGTTTTCAGCAAGGTCTCAGAGCTGCTGGCAGACACCCACACCACGATTGGCAGAGGCGGCTGCTCCCAAAAGGCATCTGTGGGTGTCTGAGAAAGGAAGTCCACAATGCATTTTCCTGATGCAGCTGCTCACAGATAGATCAAAACAAAGCTTTGACAGGAAAAGGTACGGGTGCTTTGGTTTTAAAGGCATTATTATTGTTTAAACCAGAGTTACAGAAATGATAGGTTTTCGTCAGGAGCTGGGCAGAGGGTTTAGCCCAGCCTGTCAGATAGCAGCCCCAGAGCTCTAATTCTTTATCAGCAGGCTTTAAAAAAGGAGTGAAAGAGGAAGGGAGGGGAACCTCAGGCATCCCAGGACTGAATGCTATGTAACAAGCAGCTCCAGAGAAGCTTGGACTGAGTTTTTCACCATTTGTAGGCAATCACTGCCTACATGGAAAATGTTGGTCCGGGATTTTCTGTTTGCACTTTCAAGTTCAAGCTGGGAGGAGGTGGTCCCAGGAGGAGGAATGCCCACGTGTTGGCCTGAGCTGGCAGGGTGTAGCTCACTGCCCAGCCAGCTGTGTTGCCTCGTTAGTTTAACCAGTTTCATTAACCAGTCTCTCATTAGCAAGGAGGTGGGTGGGGTGCAGGAGTCTTATGGGTGGAGATGCCAGTGGACCTGAACCAGTAAGGATTTCTTCCAGAAGCCCCAAGCAAAGGCGTCCAACAAGGGGCAGTGGGGTTACTGCATGGTTTTGGGGACCTCAGCCCAGAGCAGCCAGAAAGCAGGCAGTTGTCCTTCAGACTTAAAGCTGGGATGTGTGAATGAGGATCACCTCCCCACAGTCAGTGAGGAGAGGCTGGTGATATCCACACTGACTTGGCTGGTTTTTGCTCTCTATCATAGATGGACAAGAAGGATGCTCTCTTCTTTCCAGTTAGCAATCAGTTTCTCAGTGAAGTCTTGCTTCCTGCTGCCACAGTAATAATCCCATGGGATGTATGTGTAACAAACAAGGTAACACAACAGAGGCACGAGCACTGGCTTTCAGCTCCCAAGGAAGACCTCTCCATCAGAGAGTGATGACTTCCCAGGACCCAGTCTCCTTACAAGCTCTACTACTCTACTGGGAGTAGCTGGGATGCTGAACCCACCAGAGGAGATTTCCCTGATATGGATTGCCAAAACACTTTTTAAGGAGGCTTGGATTGAGAATGACAGAACAGTCATACTCCTTGGAGGCAGCTTCAGATAGGTCCTTCCAGTCTGCCTTTCCAGAATCATTTCCTGCTTGTGCTTAATCTTCACTGCGAGCCTTTTGTTCTCCTAAGCTCCCTCCTCTCCAATAACTGCAAATTCCCCAGAGCAAGGCTGGCCCATCCAGTGCTGAAGGCTGTGCATGCTGTTGCTAGGGGAAGAGAGATGACAGTTGGATGCTTCTAGTTAATGGGCTTAACTGCTAATTAATTATTAGATGTAGGGATAACCCAGACAAGGGTTTTAAGATACTCTGCTCTGTTAATCAACTATTTCTAGCAGCAAGCAGTGGCCTGGAGAGCCACAACCTTGGGGGACATCCCCTCCAGACCTCGTGTGATCCAAGCATGCAGCTTGCAGTCCAATCCACAGTGTTCCTCATGCAGGCAGACCCTTTCAAAGTCCACAGTCTTAAAAAGTCCATTCCTGGACTTTGTTAACGCAACTTTGCCTCAGAGCTGATCTTGCCCAGAAGGCAACTGAATATTCTTCATACATCAACTCTCCTTAGGAGAGAGTGGGAGACCCCAGTGTTTGTAACTGCACCAGACCAGGAGAAAAATCATGACCCAGGAGCGATTGTGGCAGGTCCTAGACCCCTTGTGGGCTGACCCTCGCGTTCTCTCAGCCTTGTTTTGTGGGTCAGCTGCAGCCATTGTGCTGCTGAAATGGCTGGATCATAGGCGGATCCAGCAGAAGATGGAAGAAGCAAGAAGAACACGGGACCTGGCTCTGGAGAGAATGGAAAAGGCAGCTCGCAGGTTTAAACAAGAGGTAATTTGGGGGAAAGCATGTGTGGACAGATGGGATTGTATTTTGGGTAACTGAAGAAGCAGAATTCCTGATAGATTTTGGAGGCAAAGGCAGGAATATGCATACTTTGATCATCAGCAGCTTTTTTTAAGGGTCATAACCTCTATTGTTGCCAAAAATCTCAAGCTGAAAAGGCAGCCTAAAGGAGATATTTTGTAATACAGATCATGTTGTGGGAATCCTGAGCGTGAGTGATGGATTGGAGTCCGAACCATATCACTGCTCATCTGTTCATCCTGCCAAGACTTTCTGCTCCTATCCTCCTCACCTCTGCCCTCCCAACATCTCACATAATCGTAGAGTCATTAAGATTGGAAAGATCAATATGAACATCTTGTCCAACCATCAACCCACATCTGTGTCCACTCTAGACCTTGTTACTCAGCAAACATCTTGAAAATCTCTAAGGGTGGTGACTCCACCATCTCCCTGGGCAGCCTGAGGCAGTAACTTCCAATATCCACCATATTGTCCTCAATGTACAGGTCCCTCTAACATCTGCACATCAGTGACCAAAAGCCATTTCTTCCCACATACCCCTAGATCAAGAAGCACACAGATTTCAGAAGGTTCAGTCTTTGGATTCAGGATTGGTTTTAAACCCAAAATGAACACCAGTTGCTATTCTGTTGGAAAGGAGCAGTGGGAGGCTGTAAATAGTTTATGCACTTTTTTTTTCTCCAAGTTAATGATACATTTTTGTAAAACTTTAGCTGGTTCAAGTGCCATATAACAGATCCTTGTCATGGAAACCAGGCTGAACTGTGACATCTTCTCAGGGTCATTGCCAGGCAGATGTTAGAACAAGGGATTTGCAATCTCAACACCAGCCTTTCCTGTTGTCTTCTTCTTTCTGCACCAAATTTCTTCCCCTTTGCAGAACCCAGGCACCCAGGCTGCACACATCCTCTCACTGACCATGGTGGAGCTGGCGGAGAAGCTGAAGGAGGGGTCCCTGTCCCCAGAAAGCGTTCTCTACTCCTATATAGGCAAAGTGAGTGATGTCTCCAACACGGAGAGATGCTGCAGGGCTCCTCTGGTGCCACTTGCAACGAGCCTATTTTGTGGGAGAATGGCAATGCATGAGATCACAATTTGTCAGTACTGTGATGGATGAAGGGTGGCTTCTGGCTGAATCCATAGATCCAGGGCAGAAAATTATCCCCAAAATAATTATGTAAAATTCATAGGTAAAGTCTGAATAATGAGTGCTGAAGAATGCTGGAGGTTTGAGGAGACTGAATTCTCAGCTTGAAAACCCAAAGTGCTGTTTCTTTCCTTCCATCTATTCATTCATCTTGCTACTCTATCCAACCTCTCTGGAAAGGCTCTGGAGGTGAATCAGGAGGTGAACTGTGTAATAGACTTCATCCATGGCTGTGAGGATCAGCTCCAGAAACTGAAGAAGCAGAAGGAGAAGGGGCTGCTCTATGGCATTCCTGTCAGCATCAAGGACCACATTGACTGCAAGGTACATCCCTAATATCCCCTCCCCTTGGCCTGGGGCTGGAAACAGACAAGGATGTCCAGGATGTCTCTACCCCTGTATATGGGATCCAGCTTTATCCTTTTTATCACAGCTAGCCAAGGGTGCCCTCAGACAAGGATGCTTTGGACCATATGTGTTATTTCTGTAGTTGTCACAGCTCTGAACAGGATCTTTACTGGTACCTAGAGAGCTTTGCTTCCCATCCCCAAGGGTCATGTCTCCACTGGTGGGCTGGTGAAGTTTCTGGGCCAAGTGAAGGAAGAAGACAGCGTCATCGTCCAGGTTCTGAAGAGCCAGGGAGCAATCCCCTTCGTGAAAACCAACATCCCGCAGACAATGATAAAGTAATTTCGTGTGCACCTTCATGAAAACACTCTGTCATACAAGTCCTGCGAGCTGAGAGGGAGCGGGGCCACGGGCACAAGCTCCCATCCTCTTCCAAACAAATTATGCACGCTGAATTCATTGCCTCCCCATTTCAAACTACCATTCCTTGGTCTTTCTGTAGAATGCTACAGAGAAAGTATTTCTTTTTGATGCCTCTTTCTTCCTATATTAATCAATATATCTACTTCACAGTGATTCTACCCCTAGCATTGATTCCGCATTAATCCCTGCACCTTGCCTTTATGATTTGTGGAGATAGATGTACCTCACTCACCTGCTGTTCTTCTCCCCAGCTACGACTGCAGCAATCTCATTTTTGGCCAGACGCTGAACCCCCTCAACCACCAGAAGACCCCCGGGGGCTCCTCAGGAGGGGAGGGAGCTCTGATTGCAGGGGGAGGCTCCCTCCTGGGCATTGGCTCAGATGTAGCTGGCAGCATCCGCCTGCCATCCAGCTTCTGTGGGTTATGTGGGCTTAAACCCACAGGCTTCAGGATCAGGTACACCCTAACAACTGTCTCTTTCCAGCTAATGTAGAGGCTGAAAAGTTTTCCCTGCAGTGGACCAAACTGCACAATAAATTTCTGTTTATCAGAGATGGGTTATTCCCAGATGAGGAATTACATATGCACCAGGGAAAGGAAACGATAAAAAACATCTCTAGCACCTAGCAACTTAATGCTCCTGGGAGTCTTCCTAATCTAGAAGGGGTGAAGTCTCTGCAGGGCCTTTGGTCCTCCTAGATGGTCACTGGGGCAAATGGGAAGTCTGCAACCCAGCATGCTGACATATCTTAGAGCCTAATACCTTAGATATCTAATCTGCTTCTCCCATTCTGTTTCTAGCAAGTTGGGTGTGATTTCTCCTATCGCAGGAATGAGCTCAGGTAAGTTCATCCAGATAATATATTACTACTGCCAAACCTTCTCTGCTGTTTGCAGCATGGCTGCAGTCCTTGTTCCTTCCTCCTGGGTGGGACGTGTGCCTGCAGAAGGCTGGCCCAGAAGGTCCACCTCAGTAGATGACATCCTGACTCTAAGACTTAGGGACTGTCCTTGGCAGGCTTCCTTTCTCACTTCTTGCATATTCATTCCCCACTCCTCTTTCCTGGCCTGAATAAAACTCCTGTCCTCTGGGCCACTACCAGCTACTATAAGGGAGCACCAGGGCCAGCTGCCTGAAATAATGGATCTTTGTTTTTGCAGTGATAGGGATGCTGGGGCCAATGGCAAGGGATGTGGACAGCCTGGCCCTCTGCATGAAGGCGCTGCTCTGTGAGGAGATGTTCCGGCTGGATCCTACTGTGCCCCCCATCCCCTTTGATGAGGAGGTGAGGCTCAGAGGCAGTCCCATGCCTCCATTTGTCTACCACTAAAGAGAGATCTTGAGAGACTCTCATCTGATTTCATATCTGAAGACAGTGAAGGGGAAGCAATGCTGCTGCTCAGATGGGTCCCAGCATGAGCAACCATGTGAAGAAGCCACAGAGCAGGGTTGGCAGACAAGACCTGCTGAATGCTGATCCCTACCATTGCCTTCCTAGCAATGCCCAGAAAAGACTTGTTGGCTTCCTAAAGGAATTCATTTTTCCTGATCAGAGAAATTCACCCCTCGCATCTTTAAAAAGAGCCTTATTTAAAAGCCATGAACCTAAGAAATCTTTGAGCTTTGCAATTATCTCTCTGGTTCTACCCATCTGCTGCTTTCTGGCTCAGGTTTTAGGATCTTTCAATTGTCCCTGCTGTACAGACGATTACTCCTGATATATGGCTCTTTCCACTAGCCCAAATGTCCTGTCTTTCTTCCAGCCTAGGACACTGCCTTCCTAAATCCTAGGAATGGTCTGATCTGGTACATGTGTCCAACCAGTGGCTCTTCTCACAGGTTTACACCAGTTCAAAGCCACTTCGGATTGGATATTATGAAGAAGATGGCTACTTCCAACCCTCACCCAGTATGAAACGGGCCGTCCAGCAGACCAGAAAGCTCCTCCAGGAAGCAGGGCATACAGTAAGTTTTCATGCCTGTGGTTACTAGGAGCTGTCATCCTGCTCCTTACGGAGTCTGGACAAGTCATTTCACATCTCTCTTTTATAAAGCATGGCATGGGGCAATGTTTTTTCCATCATGTTTTGCATCTCCATAAACATCAAACTTGCAGCAGCTTCCATGATCCTGCATCCGCTGAATCCAGTTTACAGACTTTTGGGTGGAGTACAGGTTTGGAGCAGTTGAGCTCCCAGGGATCACTTCTAGCCTAAACTACATTGTGGTTCTGCCAGTAGTATTTTCTATATGAGTTCTAATGACAAGTATAAATTACGAATATTTGGTGTTTTGAATACTTGGCCTATAAATATACTCCTCTAAGGAGCAAAGAAAAGCTATGTGAAGTCATGTCATTGTGTGCTAATGCCTTGGAAACGGGAAAGGACAGAGGGCAGATGGCACCAGCCCAGGTCTCTTTGTATATGGAGGGAGGTCTACACAGGGCTTTGTCATTCATTTGTCTTTCTTGCCTCTTGAACAAGAATGGTTTTCCTGCAGATTGTTCCCTTTGCACCACCTAAGATTGACTACATGGTAGATGAACTGTTTACCAGAGGGATTTTCTCAGATGGTGCTGCTCACCTGGTGGACTCTTTGTGAGTAAAACTCATTGCTTTCAGTGCAAACCCTGAGACTTGACATGGTGTGACTTTGGATGCACCCAAAGTGCCGGGAACTGTGGATGCATGCTTTTATGAACATGGTGGTAGGTGGGTTGTTGGACTGGATGATTTTAGAGGTCTTTTCCAACTTTAATGATTCTATGATTGTAAAGAGAGGGCAGCAGAGGAGTGATTTCTGGAAGGGTGAATTCATCATGGACAGCAACAAGCTCACTACAGTAGGTCACATGCATGGGTAACCCCGTAGGGTATCAGCATGGCCTGTGTCAGCAGTGCTGTGGCAAATGTTCTTATGCATGTGATTAGTCTATGGCACATGGGGAACACCACAAGTTGTGTAACTTCACACAGAGGTGCAGAAGATCAGCCCTGGTGAGCAGCCCAATGCCCACCTAACCAATTGCTCACCGCCCTTCCTTACAATAGGGAAAATAGGATGGGAAAATAGGGAGAAGGCTTATGGGTCAAGAAAAAGACAGATTGCTTGCTGATTGCTATCATGGGTAAAGCAGACTCAGTTTGGGACCCTCAGGCTGAAACTAGCTCTGGACTTGACTATGGAGGATGGTTGGCCACCTCCAAATAGGGTTGTGCCCTCTGGCACAAGTTCTGAGTACCCTTTGCTCTCTGTCCTTCTAGCAAAGGAGACATCGTGGATCCCAATCTGAAGTCCCAGTTCAATACTTACAGGCTTCCTGCTCTGGTGAAGAGGATCCTGGCTATCATTTTGAAGCCTATTGTAAGTATGGAGATATTTCATCTGTATTCTAGGAAGTCAGCAAGGTGGGGAACCTTCCACATGGTGGGCTGCACCACTCAATGCTTTGCTGCCTTGTGTCAAGAGGTTATCAAAGTGCCATACTCTTAAGTAAACTTGGTCTCTATGCAAGGATCTAAACAGCATCTCCACATCCAGGTGATGTTCTCCAGGGCTAGCAGTGTTGTCTACAGCCTTATTCCTAGGGGTTGTTGTAATTGAATTAAAGAAGGGCAACAAAGGGTCTGAAGGGTCTGGAATAAAAGTCTGATGGAAGTGGCTGAGGGAACTGGGATTGTTCAGTCTAAAAAAGAGGAGGCTCAGGCAAGAACTTACTGCTCTCTGCAATCCCCTGAAAGCAGGTTGTAGTGAGGTGGTCAGCCTCTTCTCCCAGGTAACAGAGATAGGATGAGAGGTGATGGTTTTCAAGTGGCTTTCAAGCAAAGGATGGATGTTGCACTGAGTGACATGGCTTAGTGAGTGTGGTGGTGATGGTTTGACAGCGGGACTAGGTGATGTTAGTGGTCTTTTCCAACTTTAATGATTCTATAGTTCTATGAATGTGTAAGTTATTATTGGGTTACAACCACTGGAAACTGTACCTGTTCTTCAGAGCCACTTCTACTAGGGCAAGAAGCATGCCCAAAATAAAGTCCCATCCATTTCATCTGCATTGTTGTTGACTAATCCCAAGTTTTTCTTCTTCCTCCCAAAGTACCCACGAATCGCTCGGGATCTCAGTGCTCTCTGTGGAGTGGGGTAAGTGGCACTGAAGTAGAGGAAGGGATTCACATGGATGTGTCCACTGGGTTCGTGCAAGTGGATGCCAGCTTGCTGTGCAAAGTCACCATGTCTCAGCATGGTGTTGTCTAGGCCTAGGCACCAGAAATTAAGGGTCCAAAGTTCCTCACTGTGGCAGGGTTAGGATATCTCAGCTCACTCAGATAAAGGCAGCTTTCCTCATTGTCAAGTAGATTCTGGTGCACAGAAGGCAATGTGCTAAGGCAGTACAGAGGTACCTGCATGTGGATGCAGTATGATGTGAAGTACAGACCCCTCTGAGAGACAAAAACAAGCAAACTGAGAGCAGCTGAATTTAAAAGACTGCCATGATTTTTGTCTAGGTGCCAGAATAAATGGCATCATGGCAGTAGGCTCTTTTGATGTACGAATAAGTACATGTGAAGCCTGTAGAATCATATAGATGATGCTATGACTTGTTCTTGGGGTGGTCATGTAGTTTCCATAACAATGGGGTATTTGTACTTTTATTATTGTTTTGTGTTGCCACAGTCCCAATTCTGATTAATCTTTTCACCATTCCAGGTCTGCCAAAAACCTCTGGGATCAGCATATAGCTGTGGCGGTAGGATGATTTATCTTCCTTACTAAACACAGTGAGGGATTCCTGTCATTGGTTTCACCTCTGTGATGGATCTGGTGTTGGGTCATCTCAGATAAAGCAGCTGGGCTTTTCAATTGATGTTAATGTAGAGGTCTGTACTTACTTACTCTCCCCAGCCCAAATTAGGACAGAGTAAAAATCTGTGGTTGTGAACTCTTTGGCTCAGATGTATTTTGTATGAACTCATTTTGGTTCAGCAATGTGGGACAGGAAGCATTGTCATGGACAACTGAGCCCATCGCTGCTCACAAACCCATCAGGTTCCTTTTCACAACAATCTGAGTTTTGCATTTGCACTTATTTTTATTGGCCATCTCTTCTCCTCTCTGATCAGATGATTGGAAGCCTTCTTATTTCTTTTGCTGTTTGTTCACTTGCAGTTTGTGCTCGTTCCATTCCTGAGTTTAAATAACACCTCTCCTCTCTGGTATTTTCCACTCGATCCTAGTCTATTTACAGACAGCACTTGTATCCCCTTTTAGCTGGTGTTTTGCAGGGCTGAAGGAGTTGAGCTATTTTAGCATCTCCTCACAAGGATCTGTGTTCCTTGGGACACCCTTACAACCATCCCTGAGAACAAACATGCCTCCAGCCTCCACCATGCAGCCTCCATCAGTGTCAGTCTTAAGATGGAAATGCATGCTCACAGCAGCAGGTCTGATTGATTGAAAACAGATCATTCTTCCCCTACTTCCACCCCACTCCCTGCCAAAAAAAAAAAAAAAAGAAAGAAAAAAGAAAAGAAAAAAAGAAAATCCTCTCAAAAGATTTGGTAACCTCAAAGGTATTTCGGATTTTTTTTTTTTTTTTTCAGCAAAGCATTATTCATGGTTTTCATTTATTACAAACAAGAGTTGATTCAAATTTTTGGCTAGCTTTCCTCTCAGGAAAACATGAGACTACTTGCACTGTATTTCCTGGAAACCCTCTCTTTCGTCAAACTTTCAGCAGAATGATCTCAGTCTGCATATGGAATTTGAGAACAGATAAAAAATAGAATCATAGAATCACTGAGGTCGGAAAAGACCTCTAAGGTCATCCAGTCCAATCCCAACCTATCCCCACCTTCCCATGCCCCTCAGTACCACTGAGGCTGCTCAAGAAGCTGTTCGATCCATTTATATTAATTTACTAAGAGACAGTGGGACAGCATTTTGAGAATGGATTCATTCATTGCCTGATGTTCAGTAGACTCTGCATTCTTCTACCAAGCTAACAAAGCTTTTAGGAAATGGACTTTTATTTGAACTACTGTTGATCTCCACTCAATCAAATGCAAAGTCAAAACTGTGCGTAAGGACTGGGTAAACATGCAAAGAAAGCTGTCAACTCTGAAATGCCCACCTGACATCAATGCCCATGTCTGGGCCGGATAGACCTGGGAGAGGAAAAACAAAGCCTGCTGGCTCTTTCAAAGTACAGCTTAGATTTTATTTCACTTTTCACTTTTATCTAGGCATGCTTTTTTTCCCCTTTTCCATGCTATAGACATTGATCTGCCACTGCTGTCCAACAGGCGTTGGTTGTCATCCACTCTGTCTTTCCCTCTAGGCTTACCGCACTGAATTCATTGCTAAATGGAGGAAGCAAAAACTGGATGTGGTTCTTTGTCCTGCACTTGGTCCAGCCTTTAACCATGGCTATGCTGGGAAGCTGTTTGGTAATCTCCATTGAGACATCTCATGGATGCATCCATGTTATTGTTTGTGGGCAGAGCAGCAGCGAGATGTTTAGGTCTCTTGTGCATTCCTCAGACTGGGTGTAGTGTCTGCTCTTCTCTCTGAGGAAGTTAGCACAGGGAATGCCTCCACTCAGTGTGTCTCCTCACGTTCCCACTTCATCTGAGCTGCACATGTTTGGATTATTATGGGCAGCATTTAGTGACACATCAGTCTCAGTAGTTACTGGGTGAGTTCTGCTGTGTCATCTGACTTCCTGAAAGTGCACGCGAGGATAGCTGCTAGGGTGGTGGCAGTTCTTATCTCAAGACAAGTTCTTTTGAATGTGGCCATCTTATGTTCCCCAAGACTTCCCAAGGAGCAGACATGAAAAGTTGCCTTTCACTTGCAGAAAGAGGCAATTTGATAGCTTCCAGGAAACATCCAAAGTCCTCCATTCCTTTAAAAGCAGCTCTCTGCAATCTAAAATGCCCTAGATGGTGTTACAGACCTGGATATCAGGATTTTACCCTGAGGTGTGAAAGACAAGTTCAGACTTTGTCTGCCTCAGATCAAATACTCATCTCTATCTCTCTCAGAGCAGAGCTAATATCCACCATGAGGCCCTCAAACTTCCCCACCAGGAGTCCCATGGTCTCTTTAGGTTCAGCAACTCCAGACCAAAATTGCTTCGAACTGAATTATCATCTGAAAGTCTTCACTGGCCCAGCACACTTAAATTTTGCCAATTTGCATGCTCTGTGTGATCTTTTCCAGCTGCAACCTCCTATACCAACTTATACAATGTCTTAAACTTCCCTGCTGGAGTGGTGCCGGTCAGCACAGTCACAAGAGCTGATGAAGAAGAACTGAAGCATTACCAAGGGCACTACAAGGACCCTTGGGATAAGAGACTGAAAGAGGTGAGCAGAGAAAGTCTTAGCAGAAGGCCATGACTGGCACAGTTGCACCCCTGGCATATTGTCTTTTCTCCATCTTATGATGACATTTGTCTCCTTGTATATCTGTCTTTCATTTTCTGTACTGTCAAAAGATGGTATTACCCACAACGTGCTCTGACTCAACACCACACTTAATTTTTGCAGGCTGTGGAAGGAGCCGTGGGGCTGCCTGTTGCTGTGCAATGTGTGGCTTTGCCATGGCAGGAGGAGCTGTGCCTTCGGTTCATGAAAGAGGTGGAGAACCTTTCCCGTGGCATGAGGAGAAATGTGTGATTTCTCAAGATCTGCTTTGCTTATGTTGACCTTTAATATCCTGCTCATTACTCCAGTCACCTTCTACCCAGTGTGCAACACAGATAGCAATCTGCAGACTCCAAATTCCATTTCAGTAAAATGGCAATAAATGCTGCTTGAAAGCAGTCGGTAAAATCTATTCTCTGTCCAAACTTCCTCCTTCATTAAAGTGAGATAAAACCTGGTCTAGTGCTTGATCTAGTGCCTGGCAACCCTGCCAATAGTAGGGAGTTGGAACTGGATGATCTTTGAGGTCCTTCCAACCCAAGCCACTCTTTGATTCTATAAGAAAACTAAAAGAAAGGCAAGAGAGTTCATGTTGGACCAAAGGAGTCTGAAAACCATAGTGAAACTATATTTGGTGTATAATATAAGGCTGAAGAGCTGATTACCTCTATATTTTATTTCCAACAGTGGCAGTAGCAGATGTTTAAGGGAGAGTATAACCTGGCAGGATTCTCTCTTTGGCTGTGCCAATAGTGGACAAAAGGTTGCAGTTAGCCCATCAGTAACTGGCCATCAATAATTTAATAACTAGTTCAGGCTCTTCTTGATCTCTTATGTTCTTTTGGTCTCCACACCATACAATGGCAGCGAGCTCTACAGTTTAATTGAGCAGCAAGTAGTGGAAAGCTTTGCTATCACTGTTTGAGCACTGTCTGAAATAGTAAATAATCTGCCTTCAGTCCTGTTCCCCGTTGTTTCTTCCAGTTAAGCAATAGGAAAAGAAGGTGCTATTTTGTTTGTCTTTTCATTGCCTATAATCATTTAAGGGAAATCTGAGTTCAAACATTTCTATGGCTCAGTTTTGGTACTTCCAACTTCACTGTAAAAATTGCATGCTGTCCTTGACCTAGCCATTGCACTCCAGGTTTCCTGTTTCTCTTATGTCCAGCACAACATCCTGGCTGTAGGCTTTGCTTTGATTATACAGGAGAATTTTAATAAGGATTTATATCTGCTTATTTTTCTTCACTTTTCAGGGTAAACTTTGTCTTGTTGCAATATTGGGAGCACATAAAGCTCCTCAGAAAAACTGGTACCAGCAGGACACACATACATTGTTAGGACAGATCACTGTTCTCTTACAATGTCTGACATAGATAGGACTGCCTGGTGTAACAGAATGTGACAGAAGATATTAGAGACCTGATGGCCAATGCTCAAGTGAGGAAGTAACTAAAAGCAAGTGTCCAGAAATGGGTGAAATTAGCAACAATTAGGACTAATCCACCTTTCACTCAGAAACAGCTGTTTCAACTCTCCAAGTATGGTTCCAATCTGCTCTTCCCCCACCCCCATTACTGTTCTTCTCCTCTGCATTCAGCTCATCTGACTTCCTCCTTTTGTCTGCATGCCTCAGGATGAGACACTGAAAAGCAAACTTCTTGCAATAAACGTTGTGCCCAGCCATGGAGCAGCTGGGAACAACCTCATCATTCTCCATCACGCTGCTGAAGTGTCTGAGATCATTTGTTCAGTAGGACCAGACCTGTGCATGATGGCATGATGGAGGATATAGGAATGCTGTGGACTGCATTATAATAACAAATCTTTGCATTGCCTTGGCTGACAGCAGCTGTATAGCTGGAGGAGTTGTGAGTAGGATCCATACGACCCATTTACAGTAATGGGAGGTTTCTGACAGGATGTTTCGTGTTGGTTAGTGCTGTTCTGCAACTGCTGATGGATTTTGACTGGAATTAAAGCATGTGTTTTGATGAAAATCTTATGATTCCAATAGATATTCCAGGCTGAAATGAGTCACTAACTGGAGAGTTCCCAGAAAATATTTATTCAGCCCTCTTGAGTCAAACGGAACAATTCTAGAGGAGACCAGCCCATTTCACTATGACTTCAACAGCTTCTGAAATGTCTTTAAAGTTGTTTCAGGGCAACATAGTCAACATATTTTGTTTTGGAAAAGCACAGCAGAATGTATGGATACAAAAATCTTGAATATGGGATACAGTTCTCAGGGTTAATTCTTTGTCTTTTGATCAAAATGGATTCTAAGCTGATCTGACTTAAAAAAAAAAGAGAAAAAAAAAAATTACCAAATTGGAGGGAGGATTGTTTATGTAAAGATTCTAATGAAAACCAGCCTGCTTGAGAGCTGCAGGTGTTGGGTGGAGGTTAATGACAGTAAGCTAGTGTTGTCTCGCTTCTTCAAGCAGAGATGATACAGCCTTGCTGGGAACAGGAGCAGACTGCCTGGGTTGGTCTGCTGCCTTTTTCTGTGTGAGGCACTGTGAAGGAGGTCTGCAGAAATAGGAGGGATGATAACAGTGCATTCTGTCTCAGGGGTCAGATGAGTACCAAAGGAATAGGGATTCTTCCATTTCTTTTTTGGCTCTGTCCCATGACCCACTTAAGTGTACTTCCTCTTATTCTCCCTGCATTGCTCAACATCTGAAAGCCCCACATGCAACCAGGTAAGCATTTTTATTTCTATCCCCAGCACCAGGATAACAGCAAAAAGAGGAAACCACTGACTGGACAGCAAAGAAAGTCAATTGGGTGATTATTTCAAAACTTGTCTCTTCTATGTCACCAACACCAAGCATGATAGGCAGTGTGTCATTTATAAAATAATTATAGATCTATCTGGAGTCTTCGTGCTGGGACTGGATCAGCTTTGCCTCTTATAAGCTGATGAACCTGGAACTGTACTTCGAATTAGGAGAACGTCCAAAAATGAGGCAGGTAGATGCCCTTGAAGGGTCAGTATCTATGACTGGACATTATAATGGTGTCTCAGCAGTGGTCCTGAAGCTCCTGTTAAAATGTAGGGGAGATGCTTAGCAATAAGTGAAGCACAAACCTGTAGTATTACATGGCAACCCATGGAAGCACAGTCACAACTACTTTGACGTTGTGACCTTAGACCTGGATTGAGTGGAGTGATAACATCATTGCAAAAGTACTGCACTTGGCCTCGATTGTTTATCTTCATGAATAAACTCTGAACTGTGAGTTAGGCAGGCTGACTCCTCTCGTAGGGACTTGAGATTTGATCTGGAACGTTCCCTGCCTCATTTTTCCCACAGAGCCAGAGGTCTCTTTCTCATCAGGTTTCCAAGCACCCCTTGATCCCCTTTGCCTTTGAATTCACATACAGCTCAGCCTATCTGCCTCTATGTAGCTGCTCCTCTCCTTGTTAGGGACTCTCATTTCATATGGTTTTTGGAGTGCCTCAGCAGCCCAAAGGTCTACTCAGAAGGTGCAAAACAAGTTTGGATTTTGAAACCATCCCATCCCTCTGTATGGATTCAATCCTCATTCCCCTCCACTTGCTTTCTGCTGCCTGTGTTCCCATTGCAGGCTGTGGTGGAAGAGCTATGCCTCCAGTTTACAAGGGAGGTGAAAACGTTTGTCCATTGATAGGAAAAGGGCTTCCTCAGCAGCATCCGGCCATCTGGAAGTGCAGCTGTTCTCACTAATAAAACTGCCCTTTGAAACACCGAGTTGGTTTGGACACAGCTGGCTTTGTCTCTGTTAAACATTTGCAGTGTCTAAAGGGCAGGATCAGAGCACGGGACCCAGAGCCTGAGCGGATGTGAGAACCCAATGCCCTGATGCCTCTCAGCAAGGGGAATAAACTCCCACATCCGCACAGCCCAGTGCAGGGGTTGTGTCACTGCCACGTGCAAAGAGCACACCTCTTCCTTAGGAAGCCTTTGCACAAATCCCAGGAGGTTGGGAGAGGATTTGGGTATTCACAGAATCATGGAATCATTAAGGTTGGAAAAGACTGCTAAGATCATCCAGTCCAACCATCAACCCATCACCACCATGCCCACTAAGCAAGGCGGCCACCGAAAAGGAGCACAGTAGATAACTAGCTTAGTTTGTTACAGCTTGGTTAATTGTGGAATTGTCCATTCCACACTATTTTTTAGAGGATAGTTGATGTTTTCCATAGGGGCTGATGTCTGCTGAGTTCTTGCCTTCATCTCAGTGCATGGAGATGCTCTTGTGGCCTTGTGGCAAGAGGTGCTACTCTCAGCCACTGGCTGTCTCATGTCTATTGGGAATCTTTTGCTTCTGGGCTGCAACCATGTGGAACTCACCTCAACATCTGTGTACTCATTCACAGCATGGACCCACCTGTTCTGGTGCACACAGGCATTGTGGCAGTGCTGAGCCCTGTCTCCGAGATGAGAGCACCAGGGGAAGCTCAGGTTGGATATTAGGAAAAACTTCTTTTCTGAAAGTGTGATGATGCTCTGGCACAGCTGCCCAGGGAGGTGGTGGGATCTCCGTCCCTGGAAGTGTTCAAGAACTGTGGGGATGTGGGCAGTGGGCATGGTGGGGTGGGGTTGGACTGGGTGATCTTACTGTTTTTTTTTTTACAACCTCGATTCTGTGATTCTTTGATAGGGCTCCTGAAGCAGCTTTAGACAGCTATGGGAGTAGGATGGGTTTAAAGAACTTGGCGGATGAGTAAGTACCCCACAAACATGCATCCTCTCATCACACCATCCTCATCTCTGTGCAGGGAAATCTTGTGCTTTCAAACTGTGTTTTTTTTCCCCCTCCTTCCATTGTCTTCCTAGGCTATGCAGGAAACAGAAGCCAAGATATTTCCTTGCTTCTTTTGTTCAGCAGATCCCACAGCTCTTCCTCCCCAGCAGAGAACTTCCTGCAGTGCAGACAGCCTGCATAAACCCGATACAGCCAGGGTTCACTAGCTTTGCATGCTTAACCTGTTGCACTTTTCAGTCAATCATTCTCCACTTCATGCCCCAGTGAAGGCACCTCTGCATAGGTCAGCTTTGGGTTTATAAGCTATTTGCTGAGCCACAGCAGTGGTGCTGGGAGGAGGAACTGATCTGGGGAGACAGACTGGGATCTGGGAACAGATCTGGGAGACTCCCACCTGTCTTGCTTCTCATTCTCAACCCATCCTCAAAGACCAGAGAGTCTCACAAAGTGATGAGACGGCTCATGGCAGAGACAGAGCTGGCTCCAGCTGCTGCTCTTGCCCTTCTCTGTGGTTCGACAGCAGCTGTAGTGGTCTGGAAATGGCTGGGCAAAAGGCACATCCAGAAGAAGATGGAAGAGGCTCGAAGGATGCGGGATGAAGGTGTGAAGAAAATGGCAAAAGCTGTCCAAGAGTTCAGGGAGCAGGTAACCCATCCTCGTGAGGAGCTAAGACCCACTGGGGTGTCTGCTCATGTTCTTCAGCTCCTCCTCCTAGCTCACCTCTCCATGGCTTTTATAACAAGGATCCCAGGGGAGATGTGCTGGCAGCCTTCAGCAAGAGCTGCCCTTGAAGGAAAGGAGATCACATCTTCTGAAGCTGGATGAGATTTGGTGAAAGCCTACAGCCAGGGAGATGTGAATTACACTTGGAAGAGATTTGGGACAAAGGTGACAAAGCCTTTGAAGATCTAGTGGATTTGAACCAATGAAGGTCATTACCAATGAGGGTAATCACTTGGTCCAAATCCTGTAGATCCTTAGGGATGAAAATGTCTCTTGCCTATATGGTAGAAGCAAAAACTCTTCTTGAATCTAAGGTAATACATCTGTCCACACACCTGTATCCTGGGCTGTAAAACCTGGGTTCTGATTAGCTCTTGAAGAGTCTTCAAAAGAAATTCTACCAGGGTTGCCAGCAAATGAGGCCTCTCAGACTGCCCACAAAATTTGACCCAACTTAACTAATGAAACACAGGGCTCTCAATGTCACCTGTGAGCAACCAGGAGGTGACAAGTGTGTGAATGAGACAGGCACCCACCCAGCCAGCATGGATGCAGCCCTGAATTCTGCAGTACTCATTTCTAACACTCTTCATTCCTGCCCTATTTCCTTCTCCACGTGTTCCAGCTCAATCAACTCAGCTTTTACAGCAGCAATATAATAATAATAATAATACCTGGAGATAAAGCATACCAGCTACAAGTGTTTTAAAAACTTTCTTCTTCATCTTTCTGTCGCAGGTCCCCAGTGACAAGACAGATGCCATCCTGTCCCTGCCCCTGCTGGAACTCTCTGGAAGGTTGCAGGAAGGGTCTCTGTCCCCCAGGACAGTCCTTTACACTTACATACAGAAGGTGAGTTCCTATTTACATCCTGAAGAGCAAATTGCTTATGTTATCTGTGCTGTGATGTGTGGGATTGCTAGAACTTGCTGATTATGGCATGTCTTTAATATAGCAGATACCAGAAGAAAGATACAGAAGGACAGGGATATCTCTGTCTAATGGGTCATACCCATCACCAAATAACCCCTTCAGATGGTTTGAGCCCTTTCAGATGTTCTGGGGAGGGGGTTACCATTCAAACCAAGCTTCTCACTTTGAAGATCCAGCTAGCTACTGGATGCAGCCATGTCATTTCATTGCTCTTAACTAACACCTCTTCCTCCATCTGTCTGGAAAAGGCCCTGGAAGTGACCCAGCAGACAAACTGCGTGCAGTGTTTTATCCCAGAGTGTGAAGAGCAGCTCCAGGAAATAGAAAAGCAGAGGGAGAAAGGACTTCTCTATGGCATTCCTGTCAGCATCAAGGATCACATTGGCCACGAGGTGCTTCCCTTAGTGCCCATAAAACATCCCATCATGAGCTGGGCTGGGTGGTGAAGTGGATGAACATGGGAACCTGGCTAGGCTTGGGGTTGTGACTCCACATCTCATTGCTTCTGCAACCCAGGCAGTTAGGAGCTGCTGCTGAGTCCTGATGATTTCTTAGGTGATCAGCTCCATGCTGATTTGCCAACACAGTTAAGAGGACTCTCAGCCCAAAACAAGACCCAGAAAACAAGGCTAACAGAAAAAGGACCATGCTGTCATTGCCTAGGGCTTGTATTCCCTCTCTGAACATTCAGCAGATGCTTCACCTGGACAGCAGGATTCTGGGTTTGATCCTGAGCAAGTGAACAAAGAATGCCTGCAATGTTGCATCTATGTCAGTGGAGAGAAATAGCATGAAAAAGAGCAAGGATAGGTTCAGGAGAAGCCTTAACCCTGTGTTTGGCAGCACTGTGCTTATGATAGGAGTGGGAATCCTTGGCCCTTCATGCAAGGGAGTGGATTAGTACACCCCAAAGGGAACACCAGATCTTACTCAGAGGGCAGTGAGGCCCTGGTACGGCTGCCCAAAGAAGCTGTGGGTCATCTCTGCAGGTGCTCAAGGCCAGGCTGGATGGGGCCCTGGGCAGCCTGATTTGTTGGGGGCAACCAGTCCATGGCAGGAGGAGGGAACTGGATAGGCTTTAAGGTCCCTTCCAACCCAACCATGTTATTGTTCCATGATTATGATATTCCTTCCAAAACAGCAGGGAAACTGTGCTGCCACTGTCCACTGTCACCTCTCCTTTCTGCAGGGGCATCTATCAACCTGTGGGCTCGTGAAGTTCCTTGGCATTCCAGAGAAGGAGGACAGTGTCCTAGTCAAGGTTCTGAAGAAACAAGGGGCCATCCCATTCGCTAAGACCAATGTGCCACAATCCCTCTTCAAGTAACATACATCATTAGAAATGTCTCTTTTCCTGTACCTAAAGCCCAGCCTGTAGCTCATGGGTTTTAGGGACAGACTTCTTCCTGTCTCCTGAGATATTCCCAGACAAATCTGTCTTCCATTTGTTGCCAACAATCTCAGCTCACCTGAAAATGGCTTTTCAATAAGATTAAGGGGGAAAAAATCCCACCATAGCATAACAGAAATCAAGTGCACTTGTGAGTGGGAGGTGGCTTAATGGGAACGAGCCATGTCTGAAGGATTTACAGGGTGGAAGGAGGGGTTGGCTATGCCATGTAAGCCCACTGCAAGGAACAGACAACTAACTCAAGGGGCTTGGCTGCTCCTTACATCCTACTTGCTGGTTTGCCCCACAGCTATGACTGCAGCAATCTCATTTTTGGCCAGACTCTGAACCCCCTCAACCACCAGAAGACCCCTGGGGGCTCCTCAGGAGGGGAGGGAGCTCTGATTGCAGGGGGAGGCTCCCTCCTAGGCATTGGCTCGGACATCGGTGGTAGCATCCGTCTTCCATGCAGCTTCTGTGGGCTGTGTGGGCTCAAACCCACAGCCAAAAGGCTCAGGTAGGTGCTGGGGTCTGTGCTTCCCACTCTGCTAGGGGACTCTTAGCTCACACCCACCTTGTGCACCTACCTGCTATGTTCAGGGAAGAGTCAGTAAGCAGATGCATCTGCTGCCTGTTCATGTAGGGTGTCTTTGGTGAGAGAAACTCAGACCTGTTTGAGTTTCAGTCCTTAAATCTCTGAAAGCTCCAAAATTGAACAATTTTTGCTTAAACAAAGATTTGTTACGGTTTGTGATTTTTTTTTTGTTACCATTCTGATCAAGATTTTCTGTTTTACTCAGTTCAAATTTATTCTATTTCAGGACCTGAACTGGAGACTAACAATGCATTCAGACATGTTGGGAATATATTGCTTTTACTTGAAATAACAATATACTTTTTTTCTTTTCCTGCAGTCTGTCTGGAATAAGTGGCCCAGTCGATGGGATTGTGTCAGGTATGTGAATTTCAGATTTTTTCTCTCCAGGTGCTGTGAAGAGCAGGGAGAGTGGAATGTGGTAGAGGCTGATGTTTGCTTCTGTCTGCCTTGTCAGACACTGATCTAGGTTCAAGAAGCCCAGATGCAAATTGCTATGTCTCCCTGGGGTCACCTCAGTGAAGTTATGTCACCCCTGAGATCTTCTGTCATCCTCCAGGCCTGAGGAGGGCTGAGACAGCCAAAATTTGTGTGGGGGGCCCATCCAGAACATCCCCCCTCATTGCCCAGTGGTTCCTTGCATGATGGCACACCCCTTTGTTTACCACAGACATTTTCTCTCATCCCATGCCAGTTCTGTGTGCACTGGGGCCGATGGCAAGGGATGTGGACAGCCTGGCCCTCTGCATGAAGGCACTGCTCTGCGAGGAGATGTTCCGGCTGGATCCCACCGTGCCCCCCATCCCCTTCAATGAGGAGGTGAGCCTTGTCCTCAAGGGTCCTGCATGCCTCAAGGACCCAGTTATCTTGACAGTACTGCTGTGGTTTGTGGTTTATCAGACTGAGACACCCCAGCGTGCAAGGAAGGCAGCACCAGACTGGTGTCTCCTTTGCTCCAGGTGTACTCAAGCTCTGCTCCCCTGCGGATCGGATACTACGACACAGATGGTTACTTCCCATTGCCTCCTTGCATGCAGAGGGCAGTGCATGAAACCAGGGAGGCTCTTCAGGCAGCTGGGCACGAGGTGAGCACCACTATGGGAGCAGAGATGGCTGGGATGGCAAAGGGCTGCAATGGGCTGCCCAGCAGTGTGAGGAGCCCAGGGAGGCTTCTACTGCAGAGGCCTACAAGTATATCCATGGTCAGGCCATGGAAATTATTCACATCCTCAGGCTGCCACATGATCTTATGTTTTGATGCAGCTGGTGCTCTTTTCTCCACTTCACATCCACCATGTCATGACTGAACTGTTTTTGAAAACATTTTTTGCTGATGGAGGCCGTGCTTGGTTGGATGTGTTGTAAGTAGAAGCATTCCCCATGCCCATGAACACAACTCACAGCAAAACTAGCTCTTTTCACACTCCAAACAGGAGATAACTCAGCTTTCTGAGAAAGGGCCAACAGCTTCTCTGACATGATCCCCTCCTCTGTATCTCTCAGTACAGGAAATATTGTAGATCCAAGCTTAAAACCCCAGGTGAATTTCTGCAGGATCCCAAGGCTTGGGAAGAAGATGCTGGCTCTGATTCTTAAACCTCTGGTGAGTTCCTGGCTTCATTCACAAAGCTGAGTGGTGTCAGCAAGCCTTGAGATCCTTGCAAATGGGATGGTACTGGCATACACCTCCAACTAGGAACACTGGGACTTCAGGCCAAGGCACATGCTGTGATTTGGGAAGCTTTAGGATCCTGCTGGGGTTTATCCAGTGCAAAGAAAAACAAGAACAAGACCAGCTAAGAGCTGTGAAAGAATAGTGCAGAGCCCACAGCAAGTGGTTCTCCAAATGCTAGTGGTGCCAGGTTTCCTTACAGATTCATGCATTGGGATACTGTGGCAGGGGGAGTCAGATTTGAAGCTCTATCCCTAGGTTGGAAGCAAAGAAAACAAGAGCCACGTGGAGCCTTTTTAAGCAGTGTCACACCCCCCCTCAAGGGCTGAGCAGAACAGCAGTGGATGTTGGCTGGGAGGTGCTGCACCCCACCTCACATCCCTAACAGCAACTCTTTTCCTTCCCAGTTTCCCCGCATGGCTGACTATCTGAACGCCTTGTGTGGCATGAGGTAAGACAGCATCCTCTGCAGGAATGTCTGTGGAAATGAACTTCACCTTCTCCTCTGTCTACAGTGGGGTGGATGGTGCTGGGTTCACAACAGGTTCTGACCCACTTTCTGCAGGATCTGTCCTGCCCTGGATGCTTCAGATTTCAAGAGCTTGTTGCCCCACTCCTCTGGAGTTACACTGTCCCTGGTGTTACCAAAAGGATTAAGGGACTTGGGTAGGAAGAGAAATCTTCCAAACATTTGTTGTTTAACTGTATGGCCAAATGCCAAAGGAAACTTTGGAGAAATTGGGCAAGATACATTACTTTATGTAATTGCTAGAATCACTGAGGGTTATCAACCTGGAGAATTGTTTGAGCACTTTCTCTTCCTCACCAAAATGCTTTAAAATGGCTATAAAAAGTTGCTGTGATTTCCACTCACAGGTCAGTGAAGGAGATGTGGGATCATCAGCATCAAATAGAGGTACGTTTGGAGGATTTTTCTCTCCGGCATCATGTTATGAGTTGAGGCTTAAGGGCAAATTCCAGGTTTGTGGAGGTGTCACTATTTAAGAAAGTGGGGTGCTGGGAAGAAGACAGAAAGAAAAGCACAAAAGAGAGCTGAGAATGGCACAGCTGAGACTTTTGGGTCAAGCCAATCAAGGCTTCACTGGCTGCACAGTGGTCAATGCCCAAATGCCAATGCTCAGTTGTCCCAGTGCAACAGGGCCGGATAAGGAGTGACCTTTCCAATTCCTGTCCATATTTTGTCCATGTGCTGTGGAGACAGATGCCTATAAACTGGATTTTAGTATCCGTCTCCCTATGGGGATATCAGCACTAAAAGACTGCAAGAGGTGGTTCTACGCAGTGGGACCTCAGGACTGGGTCAGTAGTGACCTCTATCTGCCGTGGCAGCACTGTGACCCAGTAAGGGCTCTTCCACCGTACATACTCCAAAGAAACTGAAATGGTCCTGGCATGTCTCTCCTTTCCTCCCACAGGTGTACCGCTCTGAGTTCATCGCCCAATGGAAGGAACTGCAGCTGGATGTCATGCTGTGCCCTGTGCTGGGGCCAGCCTTCACCATAGGGTTCCCTGGGAAACTCCTCTGTAAGTGAGCTTTGCCCTCTCTGGAGGGGGAGACGACTGGCCTTGTAACAGGACTGGGACTCATGGATGATCGGCCCTAATCAATCTAATCTTCAAGCAGCAGCTGCTTCTCAAGGCCTTCAAAGAACACAGATGTAATTGAAGGAACATGAGCCTGTGACCACATGTATTGTCTGTTTTTCTTCTTTCAGCTGCCATCTCCTCTACGATGCTGTACAACGTCCTCAACTTCCCCGCCGGGGTCGTACCCGTCAGCACGGTGACAGAGGCTGATGAGGAAGAGCTGAAGCTTTACCGAGGATGCTGTGATGACCTCTGGGACAGGATGCTGAAGCAGGTATGTGACACAGGAAGTGGTGGATGTTCAGGTGTCACTGAAAACAGCAGCTCCTAAACGTCCCCTCACCACCTGTGTCCCCACTGCAGGCTGTGGAAGGAGCCGTGGGGCTGCCCGTGGCCGTGCAGTGTGTGGCATTGCCATGGCAGGAAGAGTTGTGCCTCCGGTTCATGAAGGAGGTGGAGACCCTCAGCCGAGCAAAGAGAGCAGTGTAGCCACTCCAGTCCCACCTCAGCAGGGTGGGAAGGGGTCAGCTCTGTGTCACTTCTCTCTTTTTTAATCAGAAGGGCATAGAATTACAGTAAGGAGGGAAGGAAGAAAGAAAAGCTATTTCCTGCCCCTCTTCTTGGTGACAAGCACAGATCCTGTTAAAGGACACAGCCCATTTCCTCAGTAGCCATTACAAGGGCTGTAAGTCTGCCTTCTTGTCCTGTCTTGGCTGAGACATCGCTGGACTCACCTCTAAATAGCCAAGCAGCTGAGGCAGTGACCAAAACATCAGCATAAAGCCTGCAGCACTTCATCACTTCATCACACTGATGAAGACTTCACAGCACCAAACTTCTTTGTTAAAGGGAATTTTTCCTGCATCACAGTCCTCCTTTGAAGAAAAACAGTAATATTCAAAGACTCCACAGGACACTGCAGCTTCACAACACACCTGACCTCCCTTCCTCTGCTTCTTGTTCACCTTTTCCCCGTTTGCACCAGTGGCTGAAAACAACCACAACTATCCAGCACTCCCCACCAGCACACTGTGCAGTCACACCACCACTTGTCTTGTCAGAGATGTGACGTAGCGGGCAGGACTGGCTTATGCTGAGCTCAAATGATCAACAATCCATGAACTGCACCTTCCTGAAAGGATGGATATGGATGGGTGGTCACCTCCGTTTCCATCTACGCAGCCTCTTGCAAGAAGCAGGGCAAGGATAAGGGAAAAGGATTCCAAAACTCAGTAGTGTTTTCTTGCTTGGCAGAGGATGCAACTATGTGGCTAACAGCCCTGCATGGAACACATCCATGTCTATCTACTGCACCACTATTCTGCCCACAAAAATAAAAATGTTATAATAAACTTGAGTAACCCTCCACTGATGGATACAATCATATGAGTGCAGTTACTACCCAAAATCATACACTTTCCCACTGGCCATTACACAGCATCCAGCACGCATGGCAGTGCTCACACCCCTCTCTGCCTGTCTGTGGGAGATGGCAACACATCTCTCTCTACAGCACTGAGCTCTTTCCACCAGCAGACCTCAAGCATCACCATCAAGAGTGTATTTCCAACCCCAGCAGAGGAACATTCTTCAGATCCTCTTCTTTCAGGATCTTAATCTGCTTTTTCTCAAAGCAGACAGGAGAGTAGAGACCTGGAGAAAGCCAGAGATCCATCCACAGCAGTATTTATTATCCTGATATAAGATGAAAACAATTTAGCTCATCTGGGACATTTTAAAAAGAAAAATAAATATCCTTTAAATATGCTTTCCCTGGACATTCAGGGTATTTCATGATAGCCAGCAAAGGGGAAAAAACATCAGTTCCAAATGTGATGGCCCAGAGATGTACAGTGAGGAAAGCTGAGCTTCCCCAAGCCCAGATCTGCCATCCCTTATGCTCGGCGTAACTTGCAGAAATACATAGGCCCAAAGTTGGCTGTGAGGTGAGGAAGAACGAGCTCCCCCAGTCGGCAACCTGAGAAGAAACAAAATGTGTCCTGGAAGAGCATCCTGAAGTGGCTCAGGTCCTCAACGTGGACAGTGATGTTGAACTGGGTTTCTGCAATGTCTATGGCTCTCTCGACCACGTGTTCATTCTGCAGCTGAGAGAGGGAGCACGTGGAGTACACCACCTCTCCTTCTGGCTTGGCAGCAAGGATCCCAGCCCTACGGACAGGATGGAACAAACATACCATCAGGGGAGGAAGAGGAAAGTATGGGATTACAGCACTGTAATAAGGAAGCCAGCAAATAACCCATATGGGGTGGGGAGAGCTCTTGATTAGGCATGTGTAAGTAAGAAGAGGTTTCAGTGCTAATACATACAGCAACAAAACAGTTTCAAGCTCACTCACATCAGCAGCTGTAACTGCATCATTGGCAACATCTGACGCTCCTTGGTTCTCATTTTGTGGAAGATGTTGTTCTCCTCCTCCATGACGGAGTGCCTGTCTGTTGTGCAGGGCACATCCACAAGGACCTGCAGCAGCACAGATTCTACATCAGCTCTGGGCATTGGTCTGTCTCAGAAATCCTCCAGATTCACCTCACACAATACTTCCATCACACCAGGCAGACAAATGCAGCCCTCTGCACCTTGCCTAGCTTATGCCACCAGATAAAAGTACAACTCAGGATACCCAGATCCTGGAGGAAGGGTACAGCCAAAGGAAATATTACTCTATATCTGGCTTAGTCTTAGCTCTTGTTCAGCATATCAGGCTATGCAAAACTATACAATTACACTGTTGGGTAAGCTGCTGTCTTCCTCTGAAACAGGAAGAAACTAAACTAGATGTGAGGTGCTGGCATAGGCTATCCAGAGAGCTGTGGGTGCCCCATCCCTGGAGGTGCCCCAGGTCAGATGGGGCCCTGGGCAGCCTGAGCTGGTGGGGGCAACCAGCCCACAGCAGGGACTGGAACTGGGTGGACTTTAAGGTCCCTTTCAAAACAACAATTCTATGATTTCTTTCACTGGTTTCCAATCACTCACCTTATGAAAAGTTCCACCTTGCAGCTCTCCCCAGTCTCTTCCATCGTGTGATGTAATGCTCACAGTCTCCCTGATTTCTTTGGGAACATAGCTTTTGAGAATGTGGTACAACCTCTTTGTTCGGGAAATGGAGACATCATTGGCTGCCAGATGCCCTGAGGTGAGAGATGGGAAACAGCATGCTGAGAAATTCACTCTGGAAAAAAAAAAAACAACAACACACCAAATCCTCTAAGCAGAAAAGATGAACAGAGAGGCATCATCATGTACCCTGCACTCTCTCCATCTCAGCTTTGCTAACAGAATGGGGCTGAAGAACAAGTCCTCCACTTACCACAAGCCCCAGTCTGCAGCAGAGCCAGTGTCTTGCCACCTGGAGCTGCACAGAGGTCCAGGACGAGGTCATCTGGCTGCACATTGAGGGCCAAAACGGGCAGGAGAGATGCTGCATCCATGAGATAGTAGCTGAGGATCCCAAGAGAGTCTGGCCTGGAAACCACCATTTTGCATATAGAAAGCAAGGGAAAAAAATACAATTGGAAACTAAGATGAGCATGGCCAAAAGGAGCTGGTGCTAACAGCCTGACACTGGTGCAGCAGAAATGCTAAGTCACAGCTTGAAGCAATGATGGAGCACCTGGTGGGAAGGCAGGGCCAACCCAGGGGAGTGACCAGAAGGGGTGGAACCAGGATCCAGCCCTTCCCAGACCTCATTTAAGGGCTGGCAGTGGAGGTGAGAGTATCTATCTGGAGATCATCTAAAGGTAAGAAGTTTTTCTTCCTTTGTTTCTGTATCCATAGCTGCTGCATTTGGGCTTGTTCTCATTTGCTGTAGCCTAGGACTGTACCACCCCACTACTATTGCTGTGCTTTCTATCACATTATAGATTACAGCATTACAACTGGCAATGTTGGTTTGTAGCAGGAACAGTTATAGAAACACAGACTCATGGAATCGTAGCATGGGTAAGTTGGAAGGGACCTTATGGGTGGATCAGTCAGCTCCAACCTCTGCCATAGGCTGGGTGCCCCCCCACCAGCTCTCATTGCCTAGGGCCCCATCCACCCCAGCCTTGAGCACCTCCAGATATGGGGCAGTCAGTAAAGCATTACCCTGACTGGGGTAATACCAGCACCATTAATGTCAACTAGAATGGTGGGGTTTTTTTGTTTGTTTGTTTTGCCAAACGTGCCTGCACTAGGGATGAAGGAAGCAGGAGAACCATCTCACCATGCAGGATGGAAGCGTGAGATGTCGCCCCTGGGGAAGGTGTAGCACTTGATGTTGGAGCTGACAGAGGCATGAAGCAGCGGTGACGTCTGTGCTGGCACCATCATCCCATCTCCACCAGACCCCTCCAGGGAAGTTTTCCTCCTCTCCACTTCTACACTCTCATTCTCCTGCCAACACCGCGCCCTTCTGGCAGCTTGAGAAACAAAATCGGTGGCGCTGAGCAGCTCCAGCTGCTGGGCAATCAGGTCGGCAGAGGCGAAGTTGTTGAGCAGGGCTCCGTACTTCTGCTCGCACAGCATTGCGGAGCGCACGGCCGGCCAGCGCTCCTGCAGCTGCAGGCTGTAAGTGGTGTCAAAGTGGTGCAGTGCCAGGCGTGTGGCTGGGATGCGCGGGGAGGTGGTGGCCTTTGGAGAGAGACATCCAAGGGGTGAAGGGGCTGGGAGCCCAAAACCCGGAGCATTTAGGAGAGGAAAGGCAGGAGGGCTCAGGGAGAAACGTATGGGGTGTAACCTGGGATAAAAGGGGTGAGGGGTGCAGGAGGGTGCAATGAGAGCTGCCATGGGTGTAATGGGGAGAGGGAAAAGGGTGCAGAAGTAACAGAGCTGGGGGGGGTAAAGAGGATGAGATGGAGACAGAAGTAACAGAGCTGGGGGGGTAAAGAGGGACAGAAAAAGGAGGTGTGATGGGAGAGGCACAGCGAGGACGGATCGGAGGGAAGAAAACAAGCGCGGAGCTCCCCCCCGTTCTCACCCACTTCTTCTTGTAGAGGTACCGCCGAGGCACCGGGCTCAGCCCCAGCACAGGACCCCTCCGCAGCAGCATCGCCGCACCGCCGCTCCGTGCCGCCATGGCCGCGCTCAGCAGCGCCTTCCGGGGCGGGACCGGAGCTCCCAGCCCTCCCTCGGGTCCGAGGCTGCCGGGGGAACGTGGTAACCGGAGCCGGCCTGATGCGGACCTTACAGCTATACGAATAGAGCTGTTTCGAGCCGTTAATGATTGAGCTTGAAGACCCCCAGCAAAAGGATTGCATTGCTGCTACTGCTGCACTAATAGCAGCCGCATTTAAATGTGCCGTTTTGCTTGGTGAAAGAGCTGAGGAAGTATTTGATGCCCAAGGAAACAGCCCTGTAGTGTTCCTGGTGTTAAACCTCCTGCCCTGAAGCAGAATGGCAGAGCCTGAACTGATAGGATGCTCTTTATGATCCCTAGGGCTCCTCCTGTCTCTGGATGTTCTGTGATTTGAGAATTCAACCTCACTGCACCACAGCCCCAGGTCAGCAGAAAGGGCTGGTGCTTACAGTGTTACTACAGCAGCAGTGCCCCAGAGCACCACTCAGACACCATTCAGACTCATGTGGCGCCACCACTGTGCCCACCTGCAGCCCCATGGACAGTTGCTCTGGGCCACAACAACAACAGTCTCCTCCAACTTCTGCTAGCAATAGGGGCAGCTGAATGCTTTCCCCTGAAAGCACATTAAACAGGAATGGCATCACCTCATGGCTCACAGGGCTGAAGTGTGTTATAGGAATCATATTGCCTCCTAGAAAATGGTCACCCCTTCCTCTGGGGTAGCAATGTGTCTGGAAAGACCAATTTATTCACAACTCACTGAAGGAACAGCATTAGTCATAAGTTCAGTGGTGTCTGCTGCTCTAACAGATGAGTTCTTATCAGTGGGATGGCACCAGCCTCTGCTCATCAAGGATGCACAGAAAGGACATTCCTACAAGGGAGAAAAAGTCTCTTCTAGATACAAGCAGGTGGGGTGAGGTCTGAGCCTCACTACTTTCATCATAACTCCATACGAGTACAAATGAGCACTACAGGAACTATGAAAGAAACTGAGGGCATTTCCACAGGAACTTTAAATGTTTAATATGGAAAATTACAGAACATTCACATGTTTTTTGTGTAGCTGCACATCTTCAATGAAAACAGACAGTGACATTCTGGTGCTCGGTCACTGCCAAGAAGCCACTTTGTACTTCACATTGGCAATAAACAGGCAGAAGCAGTACTGTGCAACCAACAAGGCTCTTCTGATGGACCGTGGAAGCAGATGAACAGTCATTCCTGCATTCACTTCAGCTTACTGAAGAGTTTGTGGGCAACCTGGAAAGGAGACAAAGTGCTCAGTAACTGACAGTTCTCCAAGTACAAAAGGGCTGGGAACCATCACAGCTTTACCACCAGGCTCTTGGCTCTCCAGGTCACCAATGCACATGGCTCTATCTGCACTCCTCATTTTTTTGCAACAAGTTAATTCAAGCAGACTAACTAGATTTCTTACAAAGCTTTCAAGCTTGAAAAGGTAAGTCATAGAATCATTAAGGTTGGAAAAGACCTCTAAGATCACCCAGTCCAACCTCAACCCACCCCACCATGCCCACTGACCACATCCCTCAGTGCCACATCTGCACAGTCCTGGAACACCTCCAGGGACAGTGACTTCACCATGTCCCTGGGCAGCTGTGCCAGCGCATCACAGCTCCTTCTGAGAATAAGTTTTTCCAGATACCCAACCTGCACTCCCCTGGCACAACTTAAGGCTGTTATCTCTTATCCTATCACAGTTATCTGGGAGAAGACGCTGACCCCCACCTCCCTTCAGGGAGAAAAGCATTAAGCCCACAGCTCTTAAGTGCTCCTTCTGCCACGACTCAGCAGCAACCCATTCTCACACCCGGACTGCCTTTATGCTCAGGAGCTCAGCCGAAGGTCTTTCAGCTCCCAGCACTGTTGAGATGTGCCACGCAGCAGCGCTGCACTTACGCAGTGGTCCCGAGCATGCAGAAAGTCGAAGAGCTCCTCCGTGCACTGCTCCTCCGTGTGGGACCGAGAGGACACCCTCGCATCGCACAGCTCCAGGCGCTCCCGGGCCTTCACGCACTTCTCCGTCTGCTCGCAGTGCTCCCTGATCGTGGTGAGGGGGTCCTGCGGGCACGCCATAAGCGCAGAGAGCCCGAAGGGCGGCGATTTACCTCAGATTTCATCGTCTTGAGCCCGGATGGCAGCCAGAGCCCGCAGCCCGAGCCCACCGCGTGCTCCCCGGCCCTCGCACCCCGCTCCCCGACTCACCACCAGCTCCTCCTCCTCTTCCTCCTGCGGACAAAGCAAAGCACAGCCGTTACCGCCCGCCCTGACACCAGACCTCGTTCCGGCCCACAGCGGCTCCCCGCGCTCCGCCCCGCCCGGCTCCGCTCACCTCGGGCTCCCCGGCGTGAACAACGGTGTCTCGCAGCCCCATGGCGGCACGAGAGGACTAACCAGGGTCACCCGCCGGAAGTGCCACTCTCCGCTCCAGAAGCGGAAGTGAGCCAAAAGCGCTCCCTGACCTTTTCCCGCCCTTAGCGCGTCCCCTCCCAACATGGCCTCACCCCTGACCTCCTCAACATGGCTGCCGGTTCTCTGTTTTTTTTCCCACCCCCTCAGAAATCACAGCGCTGTAGCTGGGCGTATTTCGCCCTCACTGCAGCGCTCTGTCTGCTGGCCCACCGTCGCTACGCCGGCCTGCCCGGCCCTAGCGTGAGAAAGGGGAATCCCTTCGCTACCTTCTCAAGATGGCCGCCCGCTCTTCCTCCCCGACCGTCCCCACAATGGCGGTGGAAGCAGGGAGGCGTGGCTCGCCCCTCCCAAGATGGCGGCGCCGAGAGATGCGATGTCGGCGGAGGGGCCGCGCAGCCTGCAGGCGCTGAGCGCGGCGGCCGTGAGCCGCAGCATGGCGGCCCTGGAGCCCGACGTCTGGGGTAAGGCGCGGGGCGGCGGCGGCGCGGGGCGCTGGGAGCGGGACCTGGACCTGCCCGCACGCTGCCGCCGTCTCCTTCTCGCTCTCCGCAGCGCTGCCCGGACACCTCCTGCGGGGGCTCCTGCCGCTGCTCTCCGTGTTCCGTCTGGAGCGAGCCGAGGCTGCCGCGCGGAGAGCAGGTAAGAGGGGAGGGGGACGGGGCGGCGGGCCTGGGGGGTTCTCTTAACCCTGGAGGGATGCAGCCCCAAACCTGGAGGGAGGTAACTCCAAATCTAGAGGGGTCACAGCCCCCCAAACCCGGAGGGGAGGGATGCACCCCAAACTGAAGGGACCCCAACTCAATTGGAGAGAAGCCCAACCAGAGGGATGCTCCAGGCAGGAGCACGAGGCGTTCATTTGATTCACCTTAAGCCTTTACCTCATCGCACTCTGAGGGATGAATTTAGAAGATATTCCTCGTCCCAGTCTGACCCTGCATGCCCCCTACTTCTATTGCCTGCCTGTGTCTGTGGGAGCGCTGAGCAGGGCTTCCAGCTGGGGAAGAAGGGCTGAGAGCACCTGGTTTCATTTTTCAGGGCTGTCCACGCAGCCCATCTGGCGCAAGCTGTGGGACGACGTGATGAAAACCAGGCCCCCCAACTCAGAGGTGAGAAAACTGCTTTGACACCCAGGTTCTGGTTTTACTCAAGCATGCCACATCTGCTGAGCACTGCTGGCACTTGTGTTTGTAGAGCTTGGGACCAAGGCACGGCTCTTGTGTAAGAATAATTATGGGAAATAAGCGTCTGTTGTGAGAAATGAACTGTACACAGCCTTGCTATCACTTGCAGTAAGTGTGCTGAAAGAATAAACTCTGTCTTTACAGAGGCAGTTTTTAGGGGAACAGAAGGTAGAAACAGTATCTTGTATCATGGTTAAAAACACATGTGCAGAAACTGTGCCGATGTGTTAGAAAACACAGAAGAGAGGGAATTTTGAAAGAATTATTTTACATGTGAAAACGAAAGAAGCTTCACCAATTCAGTATCACAGAAGAATGGTCACTAAATTACCCATGGCCTCTTGGGAAGGAAATTTCTGATGGTGTGTTCTTTACTTGGCAGAAATGTGATTTAGCTTTGGTTTCCAACTACTGATTATGTATAAATTAGGCCAGAGCGGGATGAAAAGATAACAGTGGGAGCAGCACTGTATTTTGAATAAATACTCAGAGGAAGGATGTTGAGAATTAGGAAGCTAGCTGTGCTAGCTGTAGCTTCATTGGATACTGTGTAAACCTTTGTAATAATTTGATTCAAAGAGAGTGAGAAAGATAGTCGCTGACTTTTGGCCCTGTTGAGTAGTTTTTATCCTGGTTGACTCTAAGGTGATTTAATTGCAGAATATACCCTGCTGGAGGAAGAAGTTCTTTGAAACATTCTTCTCAAATGTTCTTCACGGTGTCTTGGATGTTTCCTCTGACTGGCGTCTCAATGACCATCATTTCTCACCGCTGCTCCACAGCTCACCTCATGTTAGCCAGCTCACTCTGTGCAACATGCTGCAGGGCGCGGTGGAGCTCGCTGCAGAGCACAACCAAAAAGTTCTTGAGAACCTGGCTGGCTCATTGCGGATCCTGAAGTTCCAGCACCTCCTCTCCTCTGACCACTCCATCAGGCGTTCACTGGTTTTACTCCTTCACCGGCTGATTCACCATGGCTCTGTTAGCCATGTGTCCATGTGTGCCTGGCCTGTGCCTGACACAGTTCTTCTTGTTCTCATTTTGAGCATGAGTGCTGGGTTTTGGCGGTCAGGAAATGCTCTTACATATCACAGCAGCCCGTGTGGCCTTTGCAGAGAGGAGGGTGATGCTCAAAGCCAGAAGTCAACACCAGAGCAACCTGAGAAGGGCTGCTGCAGTGAGAGGGAGTGGAGTGATGGTGAGCACCAGAAGGAATCCCCTAGAGCTCTAGAGAAGGCTGATATGCAAGCAGAGGTGAATGGACCAGTGGCTGGCACTGGCCAGAACACTGCCCTCTCTGGACTGAATTGTTGTTCTTTGGAGAACCAAGCATGTGAGGAGGCAAACATCAAGGTGTGCTGTGACCACACGAGCAGACAAGGAGGGTCTTCTTGCTTCTCAGAACAGCTGTCCCATCGCTCTGTTCTTCGAAAGTCACGCAGACGGATCAAATCTGCAGTAGGGAAGAAACGCCGCTGCCTCAGACGAAGCAGGGGACTTTGTGCTGACCTGGATGACCTGTATGATTTTGTTTTTACTGTTGCTAGAGAGGACAGCTCAGTGTCAATTGACCAAAACACCATAACAGAGGGAGAAAACGCTGATAACTGGACTAGTTCCTCCACAGGATCTCCGTGCTGCAGCCACGCTGGCTGTAAAAGAAGAGGAGGATCTACTGGGATCTTTTCTCTAAAAGCTGCTCATCGCTTCCGAAGTGTGTCCACGCTGGAACTGTTCTCCATTCCTTTGACTGGTGACACGTGTCGGACTCTGAGTAACCTGCTAAGTTCCTGGGTGTCTTTAGAAAATCTGGTTCTGTCTTACAATGGTTAGTGGTGTGAAGATGATGTTTTCTTTCAGCTGTGATATGGTCTTACTGATTTATTTTTTTACTGAAACAAGTGTTGTAAGAGTATTGATTCCTGATCTTGAGAATGGCATTGGCAGAGATGTTCAAAGAGAGTGAGGACTTGCTCGAGTGCTAGAAGACAGTCAGGAATATGAGAGGAATCTTTATGTCTTGAAATGGTGCTGAGATGAAAACATGCAGCTGCAAAAGCACAGCACATCATGGGTGGAGAAAGGAGATGTAATGGAAGCTCAGTAGGATCACAAGGACAGATGGGGTGGCCCAGAGACAGAATGGGTGGCAAACCAAACTCTGGTCAGATACTGGCTCCTCCTTCTTTGTGGGGAGCTGTGGCAGAGCCTGAGCCTGCAGGTTTTTCCAGGAATGTTCAAAGGAATCTGCTGAGCATTTTTCCACATGGATGCACAAACCCATTTGGGTGAGTGACAGAATGAATGACTGATAATGGACAGTGGTGATATGCAGAGAATGAAGCATAGGAAGCTCTGTGGGTACTGAACTGGGGAAAATAGGCCTGTGATAATTTTGTATGTCTGTTGGTCTGGACACAAATGTGTCACTTACTGGTTTTGTATCTTTTAGTGCTGATCTTTGCAAAAGACCAAAGCAAAACACTTAAAAGTCAAACGCTAACTGCATAATTCTGTATCCTCAAAGATATTATGGTCCATTTTTGCAATATGGATTTCTCTCTTTATTCGTGACTCAATGAAAGGCTCCTGCATTAATTTTTACTAGCAGAAGGAAAAAGAATTACAGAATGGCCTGGGTTGAAAAGGACTATGATGATCAGCTAGTTTCAACCCCCCTGAATTGCTCAATTTTGGTCTTGCACCCTTTCTGCCTGGGAGAGACAATACAGTGAGAAACAGGGATGTGCTATAGCCATGTGGGACATACACAGACTGACAAAAGTCCAGGTAAAACATAATTCTTTTTATTCTGACCAGTCTGATTTCTGAGTAACTCTGGAATAGGGCATTATACAGTTGCAAAGAATTTCTTTGGCAGTGCCAGGTCCCAGGAGAACTGGATGTTTGCATGCTGCTCTGCGTTTCAGCAAATATTTGTACAAAGACAAATGCTAGCAAGAGAGAATGGGCCTCACCTATCTGAAAACAGCCTACAGCCTTGTGCTGAAAGACTGTCCAGAGAGGGAGAAGGAAAGAACTAGATCTCCATCTCATGTGTATAGCTGATCCTGTAACTTAAGCATGTATGGATAGAGTACCTAGGAGGAACTTGTGAATTCAGTCTTTGACTCCATTGCTTGGCACTGGGCTGAAAGTTCCACTGTTGGTATAGCTCCAGCTACGTGTGCACTGGTGTCTGTACAGACACATCTAACTCCATTTTCTACAAATGCTGTTCCAGGCCTGGGTGCTAACATCTTCTGCATCCTCTCTGGGCTCCGGGCCCTCTCCCAACACTCGGACTGCTGCCTCCGTGTGCTGCGTGTGAGTGATGTCTTTTCCCACATGCCCTGCATGGAGCTTGTTCGCTGCATCCTGAGTGTCTTTCCCCGGCTCCACACACTCTCAGTCAGCTTTGACCTTAAAAACCAACTGGAGGGAAACAGGCCAGAGGGGAATCCAAGCTGCAGTGATACAGAAATCCCAGGTAGGAAACTGGTTCTGAGCAATGAATGGGATGTGGCACATAAATGAGCTGAACTCTGCATTGTCACAGTGACATGTAATTAAGTGATTACAGCCTCCCCTTTCTGATTGAGATGGTGACACACTGTCATTCCCAGTCTATGATGTGCTCTTGTGGAGCCTGAGTCTTTGATAAAGCATCTTACTGCTGCATGCCAACCTGTTACAGCACAGCTTTGTACAAGGCTGGGACTAAACTGCTAGCCATGACTGTCCATGCAGCCCACAGGGAATGTACCCACCAGGTCTTTAAATTCTTTAGGAGTGTCTGCTCTTCCTACCAACCTAAATGATAGAAGGGCACACAGATTTTTGGTTGCTCCGGGACCTAACTATGCTGAAGACAGGTACTCCAGACCAATATCTTTCATTGTTTGTTTTTTCTTTCCTTGTCTTAGAGTGTTGCCTGGAGCAGCTGGAGATCCGATTCCCCAGGGAGCCTCTGCACACTGCATTCCTGCTGCCAGTGCTTAAGGCATCAAAGTCCCTTCAGCAGTTGTCCCTTGACAGTGCCACACTGCCTTCGTCTCTGGAGCTTGGGTTCCTTTTGCAGGCACTCAAAGGTATTCTGCTAATGTGTAGGTAATGTCACTGTGATACATGGAATAACTACCTTGCTGCAATCTCCCATCCCTGGAGCATCACTGCTTGTTTGTCAGTTAGCTTGGACTCTGCCAGGGCCTGATTTAGTTAGCCCTCGCTGGCAGTTCTGCTGTGCCCAGCTGTAGTTTGGCAGTGTTTCCACTGCACAAGCTGCTGGGGCACATCTGCCAGCAGTCTTTAGTTGCTCAGGTACCTGAGCCTCCTACAACGAAACTCTAAGCTCTTTCACATCCATGTTCTTTTAGTTTGGAACAAGCTTGGGTGAGTGTTCTTTCAGTGCAGAAATCCTTGGAATTACCTGAGAAAAGAAAATGGGTGCCAGCCATCCCAGTTTTTCTGTTGAACATGTGGATGATCCTGCACAACAGGATGGGTTTCTTTTTAATTATCCACAATCCAGCAGTTTATCCACAGTACAGTTTCTGGGTGTTAGCTGTTAGTTACATCAGTTTTTGTTGTTGTTGTTTTTTATTTATCCTAAGACCAGACAGTACTTTATCTGAGAACTTGTTTTGCTTTTAGAGTGTAATCCAAACTTGAAGAAGCTGAGCTTTCACGATGTGAACCTGGCTGATCACCAGAAAGAAGTTCTGCTTTTGCTTCAGGATCCCATGCTACAAGGTACAGCAAACTCCCGGGAACCGGTGCCTGGAAAGGTGCTGCAGCTGACTGTGTTTGACTGGCTGGCTGACACTTAGGAGGTGGTATTTGGATGTGCAATGTTAACTAAAAAGTCAGGTGTCTCAGGGATAGATCTGTAGATGCTGGAAGAGTGGGAAAGTCTGGCTCTCTGTGCTAGCAGGGCAAAGAAGATCAGATGCAAAGTTGGCACATGTTCTAGGGGAGAGTCCATCAACTTGGCTATAAAACAAAGATTTTTAACCTGCAGAGCAGATCAGCTTTTAACTGGGTCAGCTGGCAAAGTCACCTCCCTGGTGTGAGGATTGCCATCTTTATACTGATGGAACAGCAGTGCTTTCATACGTGGTCTGCTGCCAGGGAAGCTTTGTTCTTGCAAATAGATTAAAGTCTGGAGCTGTCTGTAGGATGTAATTGTGGAATAATTAAGCACAAAGGGAGTACTAACATGTACTGACAATCCATTTCTTCCATAGAAATAACGTTCTCTTTCTGCCGGCTATTTGAAAGCTGCACTGCTGAGTTTTTGTCAGAAATAATCAATACAGTAAAGAGAAATTCATCTTTGAAGAGCCTCAAACTGCCTGGGAATCGCCTTGGTGCGTACCATAGATGTCAGCCTTGACTTTAGACCAGCTTTGCAGGGGGTAGCTTCAAAGTTGTAGTTAGTACCATTGCTAGCCCATGATCTTAGTGTTTAACTTAACATATTGCATGAACAGCATCAATTTTGTCACTTAGTTCACCAAGCGAGGGGGGGCTGAGGTAACTTTTTTGCAGGAAGAATTTCAGTTGCATTCAACAATGTACAAAGCACCCAGGTGCTGCACAAGCGTTACAGTTGCTTATCTCTGTGGCAAAAGCAGGTATCAGCATGACTCCAGATGCAACTGAACAGTGAGTGATCTGCTTCAGATGCTTTAACAGGAACAGACCCAGCAGCAGATGCATCACCAGATGCACTGCTTCTCATCCAGAGGCACAGATTTTTGCTTCAGTTGGGGTATTTTGTGCTTCAGAAGCTTTAAAAATTCTTAGTGGCCACTGAAAGGACAGGACCTACTAAAGGAAGAGTTTGTGTCAAAGCTGTGGAACTGAATTTACAGAAGTAATTGGTTTTTTTTTTTGGATTATAGGCCAAGTAGAAGTGTCTGAAAAAAGCATTTCAAGTGTTTTCTGATCTTTTAATGAAACAAAAGGGATCACCTGAAATGCATTTTTATTATTGAGATTTGTGTTTAAACCTTGGCATCTGTCCATTTTTAAAACAAAGCTGCATTTTGACTCTTAAAACAAACAAAATCAGGGTTTTTTTTAGTGAAATGTTAGCAAATATTTCCACCACCTCAGTGTTAAGAGGGCTAAATCTCTTTAAGGATAAACTGAAGATGAGTCCTTTATGCTGGGCATGCATGCTTTCAGCCTCCCTTCTCCATTAATATCTCAGCCCCTTGACCATTCAAATATTTAAGATAGATGCAAGCTAGGAACTAACAGCTGTATTTCTCTCCTCTTAGGAAATCATAGGCTGGTTGCCCTGGCAGATATTTTCTCTGAAGATTCCTCCTCTTCTCTTTGCCAACTGGATGTCAGGTATTCTGTTGCTCTAAAAACACTGAATTTGTTTCAGGATGTCCAGAGCTCAGCTAGGCTCAGAACAGCAATAAAAGCCTGAACAGATTTTTTTCTTTGCTTAAGAGAACCCATGCACAAGAAAAGCTTAGAGGATGCTGCAGTGAGCACTTAAAAACCTCAGGGAACTCCACTGACTAAGGCCAAGCCATGCTCCCTGAGGTGTTGCACTGTCACATTTATAAATGAATCAAAGTTCCATCTTAAAAGCAGCTTTCATTTTCTGCTCCCCTGGGAGGGGCTACTGCACACCCTCCTTGCTCTTAAGGTTAGAATTAATGTATCTACCTACACTTATTCATAGCCATCAGCATGAACAGCTCTGTTCCCACTGCTCCAGCACAGAGAGAGCACTGTCAGATCCTGTGAATGCTTCTGTATTCCTTTCATCTTCTTTGGTTTTCAACCTGAACTACTGCTGTTTTTTTTTTTTGTTTTTTTGTTTTTTTGTTTTTTTGAGCCTGAATGGCCATAAACACAGGCAGTAACTTTCACAAAGCAGGTGGAGGGTGGCATGTCTGCAATACTAACTGTTTTACTTGATTTTAATGCCATTTACATTACATTTACATCCTAAAGGTTCAGCTTATTGGGAGTACACAGGCATGAGAATCTAACCATAGCCATCCTTTCAGCAGTCTGGCATCTTGAAATTGTCATCTCCACTTGGCTATTATGTGCTCTTCACAGGATGAAATCTTGTGAAACTTTCTATTTATGCATCTATGCAAGAGAAATGATCTTTTAATCTAGAAACATGGGGATCTGACATCTCCTCTCCACACTTTGTAAGAGAGAAATGATCCCTTACTGCTGAGGGCTGCAGTGGGAACTGTGGACTGGGTTAAGCCCCTTTGGTCTAGTCAGCTGCTATGAGACTGACGGGGAATGACAGAAGCTTGAGTCCAACAGGATTTTAAGGTCATAATGAGGACTACTCCAGTCATGCATTAGGAGGCCAGGAGAGTAAGTTTCATGGTTTCCTCCCACAGTTAAAAAGTTTTTAAAAACTTCCGCCCTTAATATTGTTGTGTTTCAGGAGGTTTTTTTTTTCCCCCAGTTTAAATTAATGGTTCATTCACGCTTTGTATTGCTGAGGGAAGTTGGCATTGAAACATCCTCACATAGACAACTATTAGATGGAACAGTAACTGCTCAAATTATAGCCTAGACTCTTAGTGACTTTTTTTGTTCTCCTTTTTCTGGGCAGCTCAAATTGCATCAAACCTGATGGGCTCCTGGAATTCACAAAGAAGCTGGAAGGCTACATCCAGCAGAGAGGGGGAAAGATTCAATTCACTCACTTACGGCTCTTTCAAAATTGGCTGGATCAGGATGCTGAAACAGCTCAAGAAGCACTTCGGCGTCTCAGAGCAGTGTGCAGTGTGGTCAATGACTCATGGGACTCTTCTCAGGCCTTTGCTGACTACATCAGTGTCATGTAAAGGACACAGGGCAAGAGAATGCTGATCAGCTTGAACTGAAACACTTCAGTCCACAGCCACTAAAACTTATCTTAGCACATATGGCGGTTTTCTTCTCCTGGTTCAAGCAGGGAACAGTTCTTGTCACTTTTCTGTTCCTCTGAAGAGGTACACAGTAAAGTGATATAGGTGACCATTTGGGTATTTCCAGTTAAGCTCTTATCTTCTCCATTTAACTGGGACAGATACACTAAATAAGCTTCTGTGATATCCTGCAGACCTCTGGACTGGGGTTTTTGTATGGATTTCATGTTGTACCCAATATCATATCCATAAATATCTCCACCTCTAGAGACACTTAAAAGCTGTCTGAATATGGACCCTGACCAGCACACCTAGGTGATGCAGCTACTGAGCACTGGGGTTGAAGAGGATGACATCCAGAGGTCCCTTTCAACCTCAGCCATTCTGTTAGTCTGTGATCCTTTAAATAAGAACTTCTCCCTCCACTTACAATGAGTAGGGAAAAAAAAACTTAAAGCTCCCCACTTCAACCTTTTGTTTACCATATAAAAAAAGTTGCATACAAATACTCTGCTGTTTCTTAGCAATCATTTATCAAGGTATCTGGAAAAATGACTGGTCTTGCCCCTATCCACTGTCTGCATCTTTTTTTCAGAGGCTTTGAATAGTTGTTTTTTTTTGTAACATTTTTATAATAAAAACAGAATTAAGACTCATAACATAATGAAGTTTGAACTTTATTACTGGGTTTTAATGTGATTTAATTAAAACACTTTGCCAGATGGGGGGATCCCACCCATAATACAGCAAGTAGTTTTAAAAATGTAGTGACCAAAATGGAGCCCGATTTTCCACTGTCTACGTGTTCTTTAAGGTGAGATGCTTAACATAAAAGCTGAGGATGTTTTTGGCACAGATTCTCTTGAGCCTGAATAATGAACTAAGGTTCATATTTTGTGACAGAAATGGAACCTGCACATTTTCCAACGAAGCTGTAAGTCACAGCTACCAATAAAAAAAAAAAATGTGATTGCATATCAAGTGCTCTAAAACTGCAGGCTTATCATAAACCTGAAGGCGGAATTTTGCTGAGTAGAAGGCACAGCACAAGAACCAGCACTGAATCTGATCAACCACACAAGCTCCAGTTATTCCCAATATGCTGTTTCTCAGGTATAAGACATGGCAGCAGAGACAAAGTGATGAACTCACTGCTGTTGCAGCAGAAACAGACCAATGCTAAGGGCCTTCCAGCCCCTCAGGAACCATGCTGTTCTGCTGCCCCACAGCCACACAACAAATCCAGCAATGTTCTGCTACCCACTGCCCCTTTCCTTGAAAGGGATTAAAGACTGCTACAGCAGCCTGCCCTTGTCCCCACAGGGGACAGTAACCTGTTAGGGAATCCCTCGCTGCTCCTCATGGGAGTGGTGATGAAAAGTGAAGGTGACAGCAGCATCCCATGCAGCCTTCAGCACAGAGTCCTGCAGGCCCCGCTTATCAGCAGAGTGGTTCCACTGGGAGAGGTCAGAGGTGCAGTCAGACCCTTCAGGAGGTGGCCGTACTTGGTGGCCATTCACACAGCGACGACACTTGATCCTGGAACAAAATCAGTGCAAGGTTTCTTCTCTGCTTAAGTGTTAAAAATACAGCCCAATAAACATGTGGATTGACATCACTGCTAACTGGATTTTCAGACAGGATGAATTGCTACCATGCTTTATTTAAATGCACAACCACTCTCTGGCACGTCTGACAGAGAGGGGGAAAAAAAAACACATTTTGAAAACTTATTTTGTTTCTAATTGTGTTCCCCACAACTTCTAGCAAAGTAGGAAAAGGACAGCAAGGCCCAAAGTAAGTTCAGGATGACTTCTCTTGAAAGTGAGGAACATTTAGAGAAGATCTTGAGTGATTACCCCCACTGCTAACACATATATCCTCAGCACTGCTTGCTGAGCTCAAAGGAGAGTGCCATGCTCCAAACTGCTCCATCCCAATTCCTGCCACAGCCACTGAGTTGTGCTCAGACTGTCTAGCAGATGCCCTGCTGAGCAGCTGTACAAGGAGAGAAGAAACACCAGCAAGGCTTGTTGCCACACAGACCTGTACAGACCTAAACTTTGAGTCAGCTTAAAACTAATCTTTGTCACTTCTTGCTTGAATTAAAAGTCTTAGTAACCTTCTCAGTGAAGCGTTTTCCTGCACTCCCCCTCCTCTTTCTGGTCTTGGGGGCTGGGGAGCACAGAAGGGCAAACAACAGAGCCTAGGACTTGAGCCCCTAGATAAGTACCTGAGTTGGCTTCATCAGTTCTTAGCAGGTGGAATAGCCCTGGCCATAGAAGTAGCTCAGCATCTTGGCATTTGGAAGTCAGTCACACTACCAGGAGCAGTACTGGCAAAGCTGTTCATTAACTGCAGTATTTCACAGCCTTCAAGCACAAACAGCCAACGAGATAACTTGCTCACTTGTTCAGCCAGGGCAGCTTTTCTAACACAACAAAAAGGAAGACAGCAAGGAAGTGCTAATCTTCAGTGATTAACAGCTTCTTGAACTTCCTCCTGCTAACTAAGGAACCTCTGAATCAGTAAACCAAGCTTGGAGTTCTTTGCTGACTCCAGCCAATACTGTATCATATACTCACTTGTCATGGGTGTCACTGGTGGTGGTCTCATTCAATGCAAACAGCTCCTTAAGCTCCCCAAGCGAGAAGTGTCTCTCTACATCCTGCTCTTCATCCACCACACAGCTGCTGAGTGCCTTCTTGTGGGTCTGGCGTTGAAATATTTTCTCCTCTATGGTCCCTGTCTACAGAAAAGAAGGTCAGAGATGAAGCATAGTTGGGATGCCAGTGCAGAACACTGTGCTGGGAAAGCATCACAGATCAAGCAGCAGTCAGGACCACGGAGCGTCTTATCAGACCAGTACAGATGAGAGGCAAGTGCTACTAGCTGCACTCTGACCACTTCCCTTTTTGTTACTGATGACTGCTTCTCTTGTCTTTCACTGTGGCCACAGGAGTGGATCCAACTAAGATATAGATATTTTGTCAAAGTGAAATAATAATTTATCAAGGATCACAAGTTTAAAGTAAAAAAGTCATCCTTAACTAGATGAAGTTAAAGGGAACTGAAAGGGGAAGATAAACAAAGGCACACACAAGACATTTTTGAGCAGTAATCACTACTGACACTCCCTGACAAATTGTTACAGCAGTAGCCTGAAATCACAGAATGGCCAAGGTTGGAAGGGACCTCAAGGATCATGAATCTCCAACCCTCAAGTCTGAAAAGTACTAGTACTTTTCTAAAAGTACTAGTCATCTTCATTGTTTTCCTTACAAAGCAGCTCCCTATTAACTGGTAGCCCCATTCCAAAAAGCTTCTGTAGTTCTGGAAATGTAATCACTTTTTATTAAGTAGATATATGCCCAGCCACAACAGACCACAGCCAGACTGGTATGCAGCAACTTCAGCATCAGACAACCCACGAAATTAAAGAAGTCAGATGCCTTAATGATTTCAAAGAAGTATGTAATCTGGAAAGCCTCAATCATTTCTATTTCTCAGAAGCCGAACATCATTAGAAATCAAGTCCTGAAATAATGACCTTCCAGCTTAAATCTCATTGTTTTTCATGGCAATATATCAAAGGTAGGAAGCAATCAAGTTCCACTCAGTCTTGGTTGCTGACACAAGAGTTGTCTCCCTTCTGGTCCCAATCACGTCTGCTGCAGCCTGGGCTAGCACCAAGAACCCCACGCAGAGGAGAAGAGGATAAAGACTCACTGAAAGCAGTCGATAGATGTAGCAAGTCTTCTTTTGGCCATCCCGCCACACACGAGCCATGGCCTGTTCATCGTTAGCTGGATTCCAGTCTGGGTCAAACATAACCAGTCTGTTAGCCCCAATCAAATTCAAACCACAGCCACCTGCTTTGCTGCTTAACATGAAGATAAAGTCAGGGCTCTGTGAAGAAAGGCAGGCTTGGATTAAACAACAGAGGCATCCAACACTTTTACTCACACTCCAAGAAGAGGCAGGAAAACTGCCCATATCTGTTAGGTTCTACTTACTGAGGGGCTGTTAAATCGCTCCACAACCTTTGCTCTCTTCTTAATGGACATGGTGCCATCCAGCCGGACATATAAGTACCTAGAATATACAACACTTACTACAATTTGACTGCTCTGACCTTTAAAGCATCCTACTCATAAGAGAAAAAACCTTCTACAAACTGCCTTGCAACAAAGCTTTAAGAGCTTCTGCATAGGGACCAAAACTTTTCTGCTAAGTAATCTCAGTAGCCAGAATACAAGCCATGTTAGTTCCAATTCAGGAACATCTGAGGTACATTACAGGTCAGAAGTTCCTGCTGACAAAAACTTTAAAAATAGCCAGTTTCTTTTGCAGTGTAGGCAGCAAGTACAGTCTTGCAAGATTAGACAAATAAAGCCCAAAGACAAACCTTCTGTTCCTGCAGAGCTTTTCAAATAGGTCCAGTGTCTGAGTGTAGTTAGACACTAAAACCACCTTGTCATTACTGGTGCTTTTTGTAACAGCAAGGATGTAGTCCAAAACCAGCATCTTTCCTAGATAAAAAGGAAAAAAGAAAGCAAGCTAGAACAGAAGTTCCCAAATTCCTGACCTTGGAAGGGTCACTTAACAGTACAGTAAACATACTCTCATGATTGCCTATTGGGCAGAACATCTCTACTATTGAGCTCCACGCTACCTGAAAGCTGGGGCTCCACAGATTTGGTACTGTAGCCAGCAGGGAACAAATCCAGAGCTCCCATAAAACCTTCTTCTTCTTCCACACACTTATCATAAATAAGAGCAGGGTCTGGAGAACAAACAACTCAAAGTCTGCGGAGTGCACATTGAAGACCCAAAAATCCACCAACAGCATGAAAACTGAACCCTTTACACATGAATGGAACAACTCACGATTGCAGAGCTTCTTCAGGGAAGTGATGGAAGAGAGAGATGACACATTGATCTTGCCCTCCTTCAGCTCCTCCACTGGCTTGGCTTGCTTCAGGAAGTTCTTATACAGCTCAGCCTGCAAAGGCGTCAGTCTGAAAAAGAGTAAAAGCCCTGCAGTCTCTCTACCATCACACCTACACCATCTCTCTTCCTCCATACCGTGGCTTCATTTTTAACTTGAGCACACAATTTTTTTTAGCTACATCCCGAACAACCTAAAAACTGCCTCCATGACTGATGGTGCAATGTTGTTATTTCAGTCCAGAGCTGGAAGAAAAGTTCACAGATACTCTGCACAGCTCAGGGATCTGCTGCCCCACAGCTGCACAAAGCATGCCAGTCACTTGGCAAAACCATCAGCTCTGAGTTGGCCACCCCTGCTTCAGATGGAAAAACAACATAATGCTAATGGTTACAATCTCATTCCTAGAAGGAAACTGTCACCACAAGCATAGAATTCAGGGCTTTTTGCAGCTATTTAGTTATTCCTCCCCTCTCTCAGGGAAGGGCACATGCTTTCCAGTACCTGCAGCAGACCACCTGCTCTATCTTCACCGGAAGGTATTTGGAGAGAATGTCTGAAGTTCTTCGGATTAAACACCTGCAAGGAGGGAAATGAAAATCAGATGCTTAAATGACATCAAAAACTCCATTTAATCAATGTTATTCATGCTTAACACAAAGCTTTGACATCTAATCTCCAAAAGCCTGTGACAA